ATGTTAGTACTGTAATCATAAAGAACCAGTTCACATAATGCACTTTTTTTGTAACTAATAAATCCACATTCAGCAGCACAGAAACTTAGATACACTTTTGACAGGAGAGGTCAATTAAAAAGGAGCTATTTTAGGTAAAAAAATCTCCCAGCGTGCAAGTCAGATGTAAGTGTCGTAAGAGCTGTCACGACTCACCTTGAGAGTCAACCATCTTTTTTTTTTGGCAAATCCTGCATTGTCTCTAGTGAGACCTTAGGAGCAGTTTTTCCTGTAATTGCTGTAGCTGTTCTGGAATCCAACTTCATACATTTTTGCCAGATTGCAGTGAACTCACACAATGAACGACTGCCAATCACCTCATCCAGTCCAGCTCAGAGCGGTCTTAATGTAGTACGACATGGTACTATTCGATATTTTTTAACATTGTAAACACTACAGACTGGCATCCCTGAATGTGCCATTTGTTTCGCAGTTGTGCTCCAGGGTCTATGCAACCCTGTATTAGATAAGCAGTTCTGAGATAGATGGATTAATAGGTTTAAAGGGGGGCTTACAGATTTGATTGCAATTAGAATGCAAAAGCGTGTGAATTAGAAATTCAGCTCGTTCCAAGAACAATGCATGACCAGGAAAATGTCAGGCAGAACAGAGGAGTCCTTTAAGGAATGTTGCTGTAAGCGGACATAAGGCTTCTCTGCAAAGGGACAAGCGCTGAAGAAAATGGCAGATTATTTGAATCATTACATGTCCCAACAGGAGGAAGAAATTAATTAGATTGTATGCCATTTAAATATGTTTAATTCTTAATGTTGTAGGGAATTCACCTGGGAGATCTGAGGCCATCTTCATAGTCTTGGGCAACTAAAAATATCTTTGTCTTGTTATAACAGCACATTAATGTCAGTATTTCCACCATCCATCCATTTTCTATAATCACTTGTCCTATGCAGGGTTCCGGGGGGTTCAGCGCATATCACAGAACCTACAGGCAAAAGGCAGGGAACAACCCAGGATGGGGTCCCAACCCATCTCAGGGCACACTCACCATTCACACCTATGGACAATTTGGTAACCGTAGCGTTTTTTTGGACTGTGGGGTGGGAAACCAGAAAACCTGCAGGAAATTCTATGACGACACGGGGAGAACATACAAACTCCACACACATGGAGCCAGGGCGGAGACTCGAACCCTGGTCCCAGAGGTGTGAGGAAACAGTGCGAACTACTGCACGCCTGTTATTTTTCACTGAACGTCTAAATTCAGTACAATGAACAATGCAACATTTGGCTGATGGGAGCTCTCCTTACACAAAAATGTTCTGAGGGCAGAATGGAAAATGATTGGTTCTGAGAGATTACCAATCAAATTGTAGAGGAGGTGGGTCCAAGCATAGGGGAGGCGAGACCAACCAATCAGATATCTTGGTCCCACCTCCTTTAGTCACAAGGACCTGCCTCCTCTACAGTTTGATTGGTAATCTCTCAGAACCAATCACTTTTCATTCTGACCTCAGAACATTTTTGTCTAAGTAAAACTACCAGGAGCCAATGTTTGAATACAAATGGTCGAGTTATCAGAACAATATTTAATGCACCTTCTATTCAGTTAAATTGTTACTAATCAAAACATATTCTTGTTTCTTGTTTAATAGACTGATTGTATTTATATACATAGGGGTGTATATCTATATATTCTCTCTAGAAATACAGTCATTTAGCCTATTAAAAAAAACACTGCATCACATAGGCTATGCTTGTGTGCTTTTCCCAAATTTAAATTGCAATGATAAACTTGAACAATCCAAAGAACATAAACACAAATACATTTTTTTGGTATTACAATTATTTCTCCTAAAGAATTTAATGGATACTCAAGGGCTCACACAGTGAATATGATCCACGCTATCAGCTGCTAATGGGAAAGAAGTCGTCAGGAATCACGAATGTTTGGTATCCCACTGCTGAGTAACGCTTCGGGTATTCATTTTCAGGATACAGGCTATTTAAGCAGATATTCCTGAGCGAGTAACTGTACCTTGTTAAGATATGATGCAAGTTACTATAAATATGCCAACATAACACTGCTGATCACGATGAAAATATGGACATTTACAGAGCAACACGAACTTCCACAAATAAGCATTTCCGAAGGAATACCTCGTGCGTCGATCACAGATGCGCGTCTAACTTCGCAGTGAAACAACCACGTTTCTCCTCTGTAGCAACTTGCTGTTCCGTTTAGAAGTTCAGGGTGTCCCGTTTGCGTGTGGCTAGCCTTACGTTAAACAAAATAGAGGTGAATAAGAATACACCAAGCAAGACAAAAAGCTGAAACTATGTCCTGTGATAACTGACAAAAATATCAAAACTTCCAAAAAGTCCACGCATACAGTGTAGACCTATTCTGATTCACTACTTTTTAAATGCACTCTGTTAAAGTACAGAGATAATCGAATAGAACCATCCGATTATCGATTTCAGCTGTTTGTTTGTTATAAATCGTGTTTTAATTGCATTGCTTGAGATTGCCCTGGAGTTGATTTGATAAATACGCATTGCGTGTTATTCATTTACATTCGGGCGATTTTATTATTACCGCATGTGGAGGTCGGTCGTCGTAAACTAGATCCTTAAGCGTATAAGTGGTCTGGGATGCTTCGGGGCTTCACAGACACCTGTGCGCGTTGCTGGGGGACGTTGGGTTAAGCCGAGCTGTTAGAGGGGGTGTTAGATCCTTTTCAGGTCTTCATTCACAGGCAGTTTTTTTCCTGCAGACACGTTCTTTCCACGTTACAGCGACGAGAGCCAGACGCGTGCTTCGACTCCTTAAGTTATAGCCGACGACTTGTAAGACGGATGAATGAATTAGTTTGCGCCGAATGGAGGAAAATTGCATCCAGAAACGGCGCGTCCTTTCCGCTGGTGCTGGTGCATTTCTGATTCCCGCTAAATGAAAGCGGAGGGACCATGTAGGGGAATTGGGGCTTCCTTTCCCTGCATGAGCCCAACAGAATATATTCCTAATTGCAGTATTTGCCAGAAGTCACAATAAAAACATACAGCGTGGCAAAAGTCTTCACTTTACAAATTGGTAAGTGTACACATGTTGTCCAGCTTATTAATGTTGTTAAATAATTCAGTGTAAATACTCATAATAGTCCATATTTGATGGTGTTTATTTTAATTTTTTTAATTTCCGTAGATAAATTTGACCGATGCTCGGAACTGATAACTGAAATAACATGGTCTGTGATGATAATTCAGCGTTCTTCTGTTCTATAAAGTTTACAACGTTCCTTTAATAACTTGATTATTAGTTTATACAAGTTTAATGAACAGCATTAGATTCAGACCAAATCCTCGCGTTTTATATCCATGCTCGTCGCCTCTTTGGTTACTGCTTGAAGTGGACCTAATTTATGTGGTATAGAGGTGCTTTTTGGAGGTAAAGGATCGGCATCCGCTGACACTTTTGAACTACCGTTTTAATGTTTGACAGCCGTGAAAGTACTCGGAACTATGCATTATTTGGAAAAACAGAAAACCAGCAATTTTTGGTAAGAAGAGCTTTCCGGATAGTAACTGCGATTCTGCGAGAAAATTTGATACATGCACATTAAGTCTTATTACGGTAATTTTCGAAAATAATTATGATTTCGATGAGTTATAACAGAGGAGAGCATTACCATAACGACTCTGATGAACTCAACTGATTGAAGTATTCATCTAGAGATGACTTTTGAAGATTAAGGGAAATCAATTGAGGCAAATAAAGAATACGCAAAAAGGGAATTATTCTAAAAACAGATGTCGAGCCTCCATTAAGTATAGATTTGCTTATTTCTATTGAGAAAATCTGAGGTGTATATAGGCCTATTCTTATTAACAGACGCCAAGGTCAGATATCAAAAATTAGCAGTAAATGAAGCTTTAGCTTATATGCATGTGTTCGCTAAAACGGGCAGCTGTTAGGCAGTACTAAGCCGTTGAGGACCAGCGGTAATAACTTCCTGCTCAGTTCTAATTTGCGGTCGCAGTCTTTATGTTCAGTCGCTTGGCACCAAGATGGCAAATTCCGAGTTATAAGTCATCTGGAGCCTTTCCTCCTGATTCGCGGGCCTTTCGAGCACCACACCCCTAAATCCCTCCGATGCAGTGAGTTGTGATGGTCACGGGAAGGTGGAGGGGGTGGGGTGTTGTACTGGGGGAATGCCACTCAGACGATGCTTTGGTAACCATGTTGGGTGCGCTGCGTGCCATATTTGTGCTGTAGAAATTTTGGAGGTTTGGACGGCCATTTGTCTGAAGACCTTTTACGATGAGATCATTCTAGAAAGTGCAGTGATACTGAGACTGCAAGCCTTTTGTACATTTTTTTTTTTTGATGGACTCCACTGTCAACTATCAGTACTTACAAAAATAATTTGGTACATAAATTTGGGAACCCATTTCCCAGTTTGTATCAGCACAATGCTCTGTAAGAAAGTGCCTTCAAGTCAGAGTTAATTTAATTTGCAGCTGTTGCTTCAGTCCTTAAGCTGATCTGAATTCATGACCTTTGCATTGTTAGCACAGCGATCTACTTGTTGAGCTACAGGAGCCAGTTGCACTGTGTGTGGTATTTAGGTTTCTACACAACTCGCCACACTAAACCCTGGCGAACATCACCAGCTTCTTATACATTCAAATACATTGCTCCATATATTTATTCAATATGATATAAAACCGGGTTTGCTATCTGAGGAGGTGTAGCTCAGTGGTAGAGTATTTGACTGCAAATTACAAGATCCCAGGTTCAAATCCTGGGGTTCCCCAGTTCTTGCTTATGTCTTTTTTTTTTTTTACTGGAGAAGGGGGGGTACTAATTTCCCCCAAGGATCAATAAAGTACATCTTATTTGACATACATACTATACAAAACATGGCCATCTCCCATGACCCTGACTAGGAGAAGGGGTTGGAAAATGGATGGAAAAATGACCACACACATTGGCATATGTGACAATGATGAATTAATGAGTTTAATGAATACAGCCCAATTTAACCATAATGAAGATCATGGGCCCTTTGGTTTAGAAAGGGGTCATGGCTGGTGTGGTTTTCAGGTACACACACGTAGCGATTTCTTCCCCCCCCCACCCCGACTGCATTACTAATGAAGGCAGCCAAAACCTTTTGAGTGAGGCCTCTGACTGGCTCTCAGGGGCCTCATACTACAGAGACACTGAACTACACAAACAGCTGAGACCCATAATGCTCGGTGCCTCTGCCAGCCTCATTCCCTAGTGCCATAATCGCAAAAAGAGTCGTTATCGCTTAGCAAACAGCTGTTGGATTGCACCTGTTGGCCAGCCAAAAACACGGGACATCAAACATTGCACCTACATCACGCGCGCCAAGATTCTTTATAAACTTTACAAGCGGGTGCTTCAAAATCTAATGAAGACCAGCAGAGTCAGTATCCAGTCTGCTTCCTTCTTGGGAAAAGGCAGCAGGGGCAGGCGATAAGCCTGTTTGCCGTGCTGTCATCGGATGCGTGTCCAAGACGTGTTACCTCACCTCGGTACATCACGGCGCCCATGTGTACCTCTCAGGCGTCTCTAAGCAACACCTGACAGCTTAGGCCACTGACAGAGAATCGTTTCAAACCCATATCGAAGGCACACTGAATCATAATGGAAGAGGAACGGGCAGCAAGGTTACGTGATCGCGAGGGCATTGCTCTACCAACACCATCTCGCGTTCTCGCTAGTAGCCTTGAACAGGAATGCTACAGTGGAAATTCATCTTCAAAAAAGCCAACAGAAAATATAAGCTAAGTAAGCAGATGTCTTAAGCCCTGCAATGGACAATGAACTCAATGAGCAATTAGTTACTGGGACAATTTTTGTTTTGACAGCATTATTTGGAATTGACTTGCATCCATGTGCATTTAATCACGGTCTCCATTCTAGATTGTTACTCGGGAAAGTTTACAAAAGGACGACGGGGAAAAAAAAAAAAAAACTTGAACAAATATGGTCCTCTGTCCAGTCTGAGCAGACAGTCACTTGATTCTATAGATTATATAGTCGTTTACTTACGCTAATCTTTTCACTTTCTTCCAGCCTGTCAGGGGAAACCAAGACCTGGTGGTAAAGGGGAACCCGGTCTGAAAGCATGGCCTCTCCGCTGTACTGCTTCCTTTAATTCTGTAGTCTGCACCATGATGAACGTCTCATGCGTGTCCCAGGCCTCCAATGTGACCACAGAAACACTGGGAGGTCACCAAATATGGGAGGTAGTGGTGATCGTCCTCATCACCGGCCCCCTTTCTCTGGCCACCATCATCGGCAACCTGCTAGTCGTGATCTCGATTCGGGTGAACAGACACCTGCACACGGTCAACAACTACTTCCTGCTCAGCTTGGCTGTGGCAGACCTCATCCTGGGAGCCATCTCCATGAACTTGTACACCACTTACATCATTATGGGTCGCTGGGCTCTGGGGAACCTCGCCTGCGATATCTGGCTAGCCATCGACTACGTCACCAGCAACGCGTCCGTCATGAACCTGCTGGTCATCAGCTTCGACCGTTTCTTCTCCGTCACCCGGCCCCTCACTTACCGGGTCAAGCGTACCCCCAAGAGGGCAGCGATTATGATCGGCCTGGCTTGGACCGTCTCCTTCGTGCTGTGGGCACCTGCCATCTTGTTCTGGGAGTACATTATGGGAAAGAGGACTGTGGACGAGGGGAGATGCTCCATCCAGTTCCTGTCTGAGCCCATTATCACGTTTGCTACAGCCATCGCCGCCTTCTACCTCCCTGTGACCATCATGATTGTCCTCTACTGGCGCGTCTACCGGGAGACGAAGAATCGTAGCCGTGACTTGTCAAGCCTGCTGGGCTCAGTGGGGAGTCGGGGACCTTCGCAAGCATCCACTTGGCCACGAGCCTACACCAGCAGCAACAGGAGTAGCATACGCATCTCCAGGGAGACTCCGGCCAGAGAGAACCTCGGCAGAGACGGACACCCAGGCGTCTTCTCCATCAGAGAGAAGATTCCCTGGCTCATCCGGGGAAGGGGAGCGATGACCCCATCACCCCGTACGGGGGTGAGCCACAGCAGCTGGCATCTAGGAGAGGAAGACATCTCCAGCTGCCCTTCCTCGGAGGAGGAGACAGAGAAGGATGCTAAACCATTGGGCACCGTGATGGTGTGCCTGCCCCTAATTCATGTGAGTGACGTGCACGGTAATATGAGACGGGACTTTGGGGACAAGCCTCGGAGTTCACGAGCAAGGCAGCTGGGCAGTCTGTCCTCCCTCAACACGGACAACGCGCCCCCCTCAAGCCGTCCCAAAACACCCAACGCCAAAAGGCGCAGCATGATCGTCAAGGAAAAGAAGGCCGCTAAGACCCTGACCGCAATCCTGCTGGCCTTCATTCTGACCTGGACGCCCTACAACATCATGGTCCTCGTGTCCATCTTCCACTGTGTGCCCAAGAGGCTTTGGGAGCTCGGCTACTGGCTCTGCTACGTCAACAGCACAGTGAACCCTGTGTGCTACGCCCTCTGCAACAAGTCCTTCCGGGTGACCTTCAAGATGCTGCTGCTCTGCCGCTGGGACAGGAGGAAGTGGCGCAAGACACAACAGAGTGCCCCCCCGTCCTTCAGGCCGCACACCAGCAGTACAGTCTGAGTGTCCCGGGGGGGGTCAATCTGCAGCCAGAGCCCCGTTTGAGGGGCCTGGTTCGCCTGCCAGGAAGGTGGTCTGGATCTTCTTCAAACACTCCAGTTACTAAACACAAAGAAGATTCCACATTTGTAGGGTGCATGTAAGTCATGGAGGCCCGCCATATGCAGCCTGAGTGTGTGTGTGTATATGTGGGACATATTTTATATATATGCACTCAGGCATTAACAAGACGAATGAAGTCAGAGACTGATGCATATTTCATGAGTTCATGAAATATTTAACCAGTTAATGTACAAGAAACGGAATAAAGGAAGAAAATTGGAATGACGATGTGTACAGGAGCAAAACCTAGACGCGGCTGTGTGGGATGCATTTTCAGTGCGTTTGTACCTATAAGGTTATAATGTCACTTTCAGCAGAGATGTCAAACTGCCCGCGGGCTCGCCTGTAATGTAACACACCGCCATACGATTTCAGTTATTTAAGGTCTATTTATGCAATTGTCAAGCGAACGCGTCGTGAATGTAAGCATACAGTGCAAATAAAGATGATGCAACATAATGGAAGAGCTGTTTTCTGTGCGGCTTGAGGATCAGCGTCTAGAAAATTAGCTATTTATTCATATGTCTGAATGGACTGGACTAAAAAAATATATATTTTACATTTACTATTGACCACATTTGGGGCTGAATGCTTCTAACTAGCTGAACAAACATTGATATAGTGCTAGCTATTCTTTTGCACAGCAAAACAGAAATTACTGTTTAGAAGAAATAATTAGAGGTATCTAACATGGATACATTTACTATTACAACAGAGCACTTTGAAACATTGTATCAGTTGTTTTTTTATGTCTTCCCAGTATTTAGGGTATCTCGATGGATTCCTCGCCCCCTTGCTGTAGCAGACCGTACCGTTTTTGTACACAGACCACTTAGGAAAAGGATACATTTTTTTTTTCCCAAGCTGAACATTCGCTAGAAAAAAATTCAGATTAACAGCCTGAAGGGTACAACAGCAAAGCCATTCCTATGTCACACACAGACTTTGAATCACTGCCCTCGGCTTTTAGAGGGTCCTCTGAGCAGCTGTGGAAGCTAGATCTGGTTCTCTCTCCAACCACACTTAAGGTCTGTCGCGCTTTTAAGGTTTCAGGGCCTGGGACGGGGGGGNGGCTGTCTCTATAAACACTCATCTCCCAGCAGCCAGACTAAAAGTCCTACTGTTACCGTTTGCTGTTATCAACAAACCTGCACCCAATTTGCACGGCATCAAGCGACTGATTGCAGTTTCGGATTCCGGATTCAGAAATCGACCAAAACAATCTGCCAATAAATAGGCAGCAGTTTTAAATAATTTCAACATGTATTGCAATGTATGGACACCAGTAACATAGCTGTGCAAACAGGATCCTGTAGTCAAGGTTGATGCTGGTTTAGGGTTTAGTGCAAGCTTAGAACCCCGTCCCAACTAAACAGGAACAGTTTGACACACCATCTGTCACTGTAGAAGAAGCATGTAGATATAGAACAATTGCATTGATCTCAATATTCACTACGCTGGCATGTTTGGAAAGGTTACGTTAAGTTTTACGTTAAAAAAATGATAATTTAAAGAGACACCGTTGTCTGTTTTTTTGTCAGTCCTGCCCACAGCTCTTCCCACTGACTGTTTAATTTCTGCACAGATGGGAGGTTATTAGTTTGTGTCATGTTTGTCATAACTCAATGGTGGCAAAAACAGGGCCACGCATCCGAATTCTGATGGAGATCATTCGGTTTGTGTTAACGGGCATTTGTTATGCCTGTTCGAAGCCTAACTGTGTGACCATCTCCAGTAGCTGAGTCTCCCAAAGCAGCGTTTTCCAACCCAGTGCTCAGGAACCCCCAGCCGGGTCCACGTTTTTGCTCCCTCCCAGCTCCCAAAAAAAGAACGTGGACTGCCTGCAGGTCCCCAAAGACCGGGTTGGGAGACACTTTCGTAAAAAGGATACTGCACCCCCTGAGAGATTTACAGGAGTTAAAATAGTCATCCGCTGTGGTTTCTAAGGCACCAGGAGGAGAATAAAGACCTCGTGTTGCATTTATGATAAAATATCAAGAATGCCAAGAGTTTCATATTTTCCATATCAAAAGACAGTAAAACTTTGCTCTGTATGTATGCTCCTTGTATATCTGTGCAGCTAATTTCCAGTTTAATACTGAAATGATTACATTAAAGGTAATCAAAATTTGTTAAGCATATTGTGCATAGTGGGAAAAAATACTACAGAAGTAAAATGGAGTCTGTGCCAAATATTTATTTTCTTAAAAAAATCTTGTAACATAAAAAACATCCCAAGAAAAACCAAATACGACTCCTAAAAAAGCTTCAGCTGAACCCAACAAACACCATGAAAGTTTTTAACAACCAAAACATTAATATTCCAGTGGCCACCGATTTAACTGTCTTTTTTTGTAAATTTTATTTTTCAAAGAAAGAAAGAAAACAAGGTTATACTCTCATAATGCTTTAGGAAGAAATGGTTAGTTATAGCTACTGAGGAAAAAAAAAAAGATTAACATGATTAACAAAAGAAATTCATCTGAATACTTCGCAAGACCTCCAATGTTCCAACTGTACGTACATATGTGAAAAAGAGCTTAACAGCTGTGTGTTTGCGCGTGTGGTGTTGTAAACCTGTGGTTCCAAGCCCAGGTCAGAAGGCTGCAGGTTCCGCTGACTTTCACTCAACCCTCAACCTTTTTTCCTTAATTGCATTAATGAAGCAATTATCATGAGAGTCCATTAAACCTGATTGATGTTTTAGGTGCCTGTCACGGCCTATTCAAAGTGTTTTCTGTAACCTGCAAAAGCCTGGCCCTCAACGATCAACTCTGAACTTAGTCACTGCTTGAAAGTGGAAAATGTGTGTGTGTGTGGGGGGAGGTTTCTAGGCAGATGTTTCTAGAAATACTATTACGCGAGGTAAAAACTTTAAGAAGGTTACCTATCTTGGATTTTGGGCATAATAGTGAATCCAATAAAAACATGGGGTTGGGTGGGGGCAAGACCTGTATATCCTGTTTATAGTGCATAACCTGCTTTTCTCTGATGCGCAAATACGACGCGATATTTCCTTGCAAAACATTGACCGACACACAAGACCTGAAATAAACCTTCAGCGCATCCGACATGTACGGTAACCAGTTTCAAAGAGTTAATCGCGTAATTAGAAGAGTTAACTAAAACGTGTAACTCGATGCAAGAATTGTGCTCATAAAGCAAATATTCATTGTATAGAACTCATATCTGTCTGTATAGAGTTGTCATCTTTGAATATGCATGTGTTTTAAGTTCTTGCCATTTAAAAACAAAGCATACCTGAACTTTAAAGAGGAATCTACAATACCTACAGTAAATCTACAGTACAGTGAGGACACACCGGTCCTTCATTGTTATAACACAAGTACATAGTTCCAGGCCATGGGTAGATGGGATTGCCCTGTTTATCAATAAATGGCCCAGTTTCACTTCAGCTTTCAATTCTCCATGACATCATTTCAGACAATGAGAGACAGGGAAAAAAATCCAGCAGGCATTGCGCAAAACACACAAGGAAGCCAGAAGGCAGATGTGGACCAACAAGGAATCTTCTACTTCACACCAGCAATTACAGCTCAACACTGCCCTCTGCTGGCTGCCCAATACAGACGCTACACCCTCAAGAAACGCCCCAAATTTTCTCCTTGAGCAAGAACGAGCAAAATGCAGAAAATTCCTCTAAGGTTCAGGCTGTCGGTTCTCCTTGGTTCCGTTTCAGTTATTGATTCTTACCTGAAAGTCATACTTTTAGGCAAAAAAAGAGAGACAACTTAAAAGTGACAGATAACCTCTGGTAAAACCATCCAGGCCACATTCTAGGACAGACAACCCAGAAACAACAAAATACTTTAACCGTGATAATCTCTTTAAGTCAGCAACATTTCTCCCATAACCCATACAACTATCTACAATCCCTCGTGTCCACAGAACAAGGCAGCATTTCAATAAGAGATCCATCTATACTGGCTTTGAAAAAGCCATAATTATAGTATTAGAGGAACTACCTGACAGGATGCGCCCAAAAATATCCACGAAGGAGAATTTAGCCTCAAACATCAATGAGCAGAAGAGGCTCTTTGCGCCCCCTTAAATTCACAAACCAATCACAGCGCCTCACACTGACATACCGACATGATCTACTTCACATCTGATCGAGGCTTTCCAACCAAACCAATCAGCGTGTGAACCGCAAGCGAGGTCCCGGATAGTGCAAAGGGGAGCCTTACTGGAGATCACAGTACACAAGCACATCAGCAGCCTCTAAGCTGATTTCCTTCTCACTTCTCAAATCTCTGGCTTCAGGCTGGTGTGAAATGTGTAACATTTTTTGTAAAAAAAAAATAATAATAAAAAAAAACAAAAAAACATCCAAAGTAGTAACGACTATAATAAACAAATTACGCTCCAGGTTTTAAATACTTTCACACCATTATATGCTACACAAGTAATATAAATATGAAAGATTTACCATTCCTTATTAAGAACAAGAACTGGCATGCTAAATGGTCTTCTACACACAGAATTGTCATCTACATGTGTCTCAGAAACAAACAAGGGATAGTCTTCCTTTAGAATCAGATAGTTTGGCTCTCGACTGTTGCAAGTGCACGTTCTACAAGTCGTTCCTTCCTCTTTGAAAAGCTGATGGTTCTGTACAAACTCTGAAGTCTGCAGCTCACTCTACTGGCTTTCCAGCATGGTGTATTTGCCCGATACGGTGGAAAAGCATCTCATTAGCAAAACAATCACTGGGTGTGATCAACTATAAAAAATTTAAAAAAAACAATTCAAAATCGAAAAAAAAAAAAAAAAATCAAGACACACTAGGGTTATCTGAGTTCGGTAGATTGGCTAACTGCTTAAAAGGCTGCGGATTTCAAAACTGTGTAACAGTCATAGTGGGAACAAACCAGAGAGGAGGTGGCAGAAGCATGGACAAGTGGCTCCCCCTGCTGGAGGGGCAGGGTCAGGACATGTTGGCTCCCCTTGTTGGAGGCCACCAGTGTACCTCTAGGCCTCAACTATGGTACCTCCTCTTAAGTTAGGAATAGGAAAATGGTGTAGGGGGGATGATGGCAGGAAACGGGATACTGAAGAACGGTTGTGGTAGAACCCATCAAGATGGGGGTGCGTTCTGGTTCTGGTATATAGAGGCCTTGTCTTTCAAGAGGTCCAGACACAAATGACAACTCCAGCTTCCTGTGGGAGGAGGTAAAAGAGTGAAGGATAAATCGCTTCTGTGTGACGATCGGCTAATTGCAAACGGCTAATCGCTACGTCAACATGCTATCCTACATCTACGTCAACAGCTTTCAGGCAAAACAACGCTTTCTGGACACGAGACTGGAAGCAGTAGCCTTTGGGACGTTACCTTCTGGGGGCTCGGCCATGGGGGGGCTGAGGCAGTACATGTGGTACCCTCGGTCGCAGTCGTCGCAGAACAGCAGCTGGTCCTGTGGAGAAAGCCCAGAACATTCACAGAGAACGTTCTCCAGGGGCAGCGGGTTTGGGATACTGAGGAGAGGTACAGTTCAACCCTTTACACATTCAATTTCCCTCCATTTTGGCTGAGGCTTCTATAGCTATCGAACATAAGACTCGGTGTGGAAGGACCACTCACGTCATTCTCTGAGGTCCCACATATGTTGCAGCACTTGCACTCGATACACTGCCAGCGGTATGTCTTGACAGCAGCCATCATGACAGGGGTGAACTGCAAGCAGGATGGGTGACCTGTTGGGCAAGGAAAGACGGGGACGGGGGGTGCAGAATCACTCAGACAGTTTTTTTTGCCAGGGATCCAAAGCCCCCTATCTAGATATCAGGCTACATGCATGTGCTGGATAATAAGACACCACTGCAAAAATATGTTGGGATGCAACCAAGGTGAGCAGAAAGCAGTCGATGTGTGTTCAGCCGAATTGACGGAGTCGCACCTCCACAGCATTGGTAGCTCAAATTACCCAAAGCTGAAAGTACTGCCTAATAAACCTACTTAATAACCAGATTATAACACATTCATAAACCCGTTATATGGGTAGCCTTATTGTAAAGTGGCACCTATTTCTTTAGTGAAATAAATGAAGTAGAGGCTACTGACAGTTTTTCGTTAGCGCTGATTTTTTTTCTTTCCCACTTCCCAGAAAGTCTTCGCACTGTTCAGGATGACGACTGTTAAGATGCGTAATTAAATCGGTAGCATTAAATGAGTGTTTTACCTTTTCATAATACACACTCCTGTGTCGTAGCGTGCACATAGCTAGCATGGCACCACATCTTCCAGGCTCATCAGCCAAAATTTTCATATGTGCCATCGTCAATAATGAACTTAAGGTTTTATCGCCCAATACCGATGTTGTGCCGTTATCATCGTGCGTCCTCAGTTTTTTTTTTTTCTTCTTTTAAGGAACATCTCAACTACTCATCATTTCAGTCATACTTGGAAGCCTCAGTAAGTCCCAAGGGTGCATTAGTGAATTATTTTAATTAGGGGGACACTGGGTAGCTGTTAAGAGAAGGATCTCCATCTGTCGTACCTGAGCGCCCGCAGTCAGAGCACGACACCAGCTCTTCCGACTGGCCCGTCTTGTGGTTGATCTTGGAGTCGCCCAGGCAGAAGTCGCAGTAATTGTTGGGCAACGCCAGGCCATCGGGTCCTTTCTTGGGCGCTGGGTTGGCATGAAACGGGACACATGATTGTGAGCAGTAAAAGTGGGACGGTACCTGTTCATCCTGAGAGTGCCAGGTCAAATGTTAAAATCGAAAAAAGTTCTGATTCTGACCAACGTGCCCTCAAGAAAAGTATAGGATATTTTCCAAATAGCTCAGATGAACTTTGTTGATCGATAAATAAAAAAAATTAGCTTATCTGAATTACTAGTAATATTGAAAGAATTAAAAATATTTTCATAACACAAGGTGCAAATAAAAAAAAATAAAAAATCAAACTTCACTGCAAGTCTATAAACAACAAATTACAATTACCACACGATGCTAAATTTACCGTCTATTTTTTCTACATTTGTCATTGATATCAGAGGGCGTATTCCACTTTAATGGTCTATTTTCATCCATTACAACATCCACTGTACCATCGGACACGTTCCTCAATACTCTGACATTGTGTTAGTCGGGCGGTGATGTCTGGGTCACTTACTCTTGGGTTCATCCACTTGGGGTGGGGTTGGAGCGTGCATCTCAGCCTCCTCCTTGTCCTCACCTTCTTCGTCCGCGAGGTGAGAATGGGTGTAGTGGTAGCTCAGCCCAGGGCGGTTCTTGTAGCGCTTCCCACAAACTAAAACCGAATGCGGTCGTGTCAACCACACAGAGAACATACAGCCACCCCTGGGGGTCGTGGCAGTCAGCGCTCACAGCGTTACACCGCTGTGCTCCACTCTTCAACCCCATAAAGTGAAACTCCATCAGCAATTGGACTAAATGAGGCAGAAACATTACCAGTAACATTTTAAAGGCCATTTCAATTGCGCCATAATAAATGTTGCTCTTTGACTACTAGAAACATATTCATCACTTTTTAATATCCCCTCTTAAAAGAGATTAAACCATTGACATTTATTGAACATTTAAGAGATTTCTTTTGTAAACTATTTGCAAGATACTCTAACAGAGGGAAGACTGGGTCGAACAACGTGACTCGCAGAGTTTGCAAAAATCTTTTACGCCTGTTGCACGAAGCTGAATTCATAGCATATGGTTGGATTTACGGTTGTGTGTAAAAGTTTGGGCACCCCTGGCCAAATTACATATTTATTCAATTATGCAAGTGAAAATCAGAAAACCTTTTGGAAAGTGTGTTAAAAAACAGCATATTTGCAAATGTCAATGCGTCAAAACATAGGGAAAAATAAAACCGTAATTGCGGCATGCACAAGTTCTCTACTTTTCACTTACACCAGGAGTAGGTAGTTTTACCCACAAAGGGCCAGTGTGTATGCTGGTTTTTGAGTTAACCTTTAGGTCAGTTGTTCAAATTTAATTAGGGAGTTGCAGCGAAAACCCGCATACAAAAACCCGCGACCCTTATCCTATTCAGGGTCGCAGGTGGTCCAGTGTCTATCCAGGAGGCTATGGGCGAAAGGCAGGGAACAACCCAGGGTGGTACGCCAACCCATTGCAGGGGGCACACACAACACCATTTACTTACACACACACCTACGGGCAATTTGGTAAGTCCAATTAACCTCAGCATGTTTTTTGGACTGTGGGAGGAAACCAGGAGGAGTACCCAGAGGAAACCCCCACGACAACAAGAGGAGAACGTGCAAACTCCACACACATGGACTCCCCGCAGAGACGTGAACCCAGGTCCCGGAGGTGTGAGGCGACAGTGCGAACCACTACACCACCGTGCCACCCACCCCAACTTACACGATTTACTAAATATTTAACTTGGCCAGGGGTGCCCAAACTTTCGCATACGACGTACACTGAACCATTTCATGGACTTACATGTTCCACAGCACGTCGAGGCTTTAAAAGCATTCATAAGATAACAGGGAAATAAAAAACAAAACGCCGACACCCTCCCTGTAATGGTACAGATGGAGTACCAGCATGCCATTCAAACCCACAATGCATCTCCATATCCTCATGTTAGTGAACCGGTTAATGGTGACCGTGCAGCAGTCTGTTAGTAACCCTGACTGAGCACTCGGTTCTTCGCCCCCAACCCCACCACAGGCAAGGCCACCAACCCTCTGAAGCTGCAAAGCCCCCCCCCCCCCCCCACCCCCGACCTGGAGCTGGCTCAAAACAAAAGCATAGGCTCTATTTCACTCTGAGGTCAAAGGGCAGAGGAGAGGGAGGCACGAGACACACATGGACGATGGGTGCAAACGCAGATGCATGGAACCAAAGCTACGTGAAGGGACGGGACAGAATGGGAAGTTAGCACATGACGAGGGAGGAGAATGAGAACAAAGCATAGTGCCACTAATGCCAGCTGGTCAACATGTCCCACCAGTATGTTCTCAGGACCTCAGCAGCCAGTAAATGCTTCCCGGAATGCATTACATAATCTGCCTCAACGCTTAAGATGGGCCGTGGGGGATAAAGCGCTAGTGTGCTTAAGCGAATTTGGCAGGAAGAGCTAATTCTGGAAAGGTCTGTCAATTTAACGCTTCTACGCATGGAAATGTCGACGCATAAAAGGTTCTCTTGGCCTACTTATGCCTACGAGGTGGAGAAATAAAAGGCACCGTCAAGCATCAGCTAAGGGTTTAAGGCAGGGAGGGAGAAGCAAAGGGGGGCCAACCTGGATTTCTGTCTCGGCCGTTTAGCCGAGCTGGATCAAAAGCCAGCAGGTGAAACTGAATTTGCTCTGGAAGATGTGGTCTGTCGTTCGGCACTCCTGCCTCGAGGCAAGAATCTGCAAGGCGCCCGCCTCCTTAACTCACAGAATTCCGGGATATAAACCCACATTATGGAAGGGGGTAAGAAGTGTGGAGGAATGCAAAATGGTTGGAAAATTTATTTTTACACGACTGCAACCCACCCCCCCTATAAACTGACTAACATTTTGCACTATTCACAACTAAATATATATACAGATATATGTGTAGATATATATATACAGATATATATAAAATTTCACGTTATTCATCTTTTCTGTAAATTACCTACTTCTTGGTTACATCCGTGTTAATTATTAGTGATGCAACGATGAGAAAATTGTGGCCAGTACCGACAGCCGATTACTTAAAAAACTGATGCCGATACTGATCGTCTGAGAGTAAGTTTAAAGGGACACGCCGCCCAAATATGATTTAGAAATAGATTACAATCCAAAAATATGAAAAAGTATTTTTTTTTGGCAAGAAAACACCAATTCTGGCATACAACACCAGTCCCGAAGCACTAGTGATATACAAAATGATGCTTCACTGCCATCAGTTGTATTTTTTGACCCCACTAGATTGTGCTCTTGGTTTGCTTTGGGGGGGGTGGGGGTGCATTGTGCCCTTTTTGTACAGAGAGCTCCATCTAGTGTGGTAAAAAAAATAAAAAATACAGCAAATGGTTCATGAAGCACCACTTTGTCCATGACCACAGAGCTCTATATTTTATAACTGTATATATCTTGTACATTTATAACAAAGAAGGGTTGATTATCAGGTGTGTTAAATGTTTATTAGTAGATCCTCCTCTTGAAATTTTAGCAGATTGATGTTTGCAAAATGCATTTCTAACGACCTTAAAATAACCACAGCGGACATCATTCTAACTGTTTAGCACGCGGGTGTGCAAAGCAATATGGGTCATCATTTTAAAGGGAATTATTGGCAGTAAATAACGGCTCATTATTAACCATTAGCCGATGGCCAATTGTTGTTGTATCGCCCGATACAATCAGGGCATGTGTATTCATTTGTTTTCGGAATTTTGTGTGTGGGTGACTTCATGATCCTGCATTCTTTCAGAAATCCTGGAGTTGATCTATAAACATTGTCAAAACATTATCAAAACATTATCCAAAGCTTACAAGCTGTTACTATAGAGAAAAGCAAGCACTATTCTCCCATAAAAACCATTAACCCTCACTTTAAGGTTTGATACGTATCATCTGCATGACTCTGCGCTGGATTAATGGATGTAGGGACAAATAAAGAATATTCTATATGAATATCATAACTTGTGCTTCTACAGACTTATGCACTTGTTTACCAAAGTTTTAAAACACTTGCTTCATTTGTTATTTTGTATACAAATTTGAAAGAGTGGACACTAGCATAGATTTCCTCTTCTGCTCTGGATTCAAGGTGGAAATCTTGCAAGAGCAGCAGGCAGAGAGAGAAAAGGCTGCAATTCATTCCATTCCATCCTGCAGACAAAATCTGCACTAAAACCAAGAAATTCACCCAGCGTGTTAATGCACATGTTCATACAGACAAAACAAAAGGGAAACGAAAAAAAAAATACAAGCAATGAGCAGACAAGAGGCAGAATAAAAGGAATGAGAGAGAAATATACCTCGTTCAGAAGGTTTTGAAATATGCTTTTGTTTGAAAGTGTCTGAAAGAGAGAACAAGAGAGAGAGAGAGAGAGAGGGGGCAGACAGACAGACTCAGAGAACTGCGCTCACAGAACCAGAGAATCAAATTAACCAACTCCCCAATAGTAGTGTTGCCTTAAAGAAGGAAAGACAGTGAAAATCAAGTGGTTATTCTAGTTACTCTCAAAATTCTTTCTGACAGAACTCGCAGCTAATGTCGCAAGTCTAAACCGTGCTACTAACTACTAACTAGTGAAGCTTGCAGTATGCTTGGCTACAAGGCAATCTAAAGTTATGTCAAACCTCGGGTGAAATTCTTTCAAAAAGGCAGAATAGGATAAAATGGCTGGATACATGGATACAAATTTAAAACTGCCATTGACTAAACTGACACTTATTACCAAAGGAACTTGCAGTGTCACTATTCACACTGCTTAATTCCACAGCCCCCTCCCCCCCCAACGCAAACCCGTTCCCCTTTAGGCCCCTCACCATATACAGTCACTCTGACCCAAAACCTTTCATTCACAAGCCATTTCTATAACTGCTTATGCTCGCTGCTAGGTCTTGCCTGTCCAAATCTCACTATCGCAGTCACCATCACCAAAATCAGAAGGGTATGCCGTGCACCTCAGGGGGCTGAGCTTAAGTGACAATGAAATTTCTCCCTTTCATGTTTAAAGCAAAACTGAAGACATCTAACAGAAAATGAATAAATAAAAATACATCAAGAAGAGCCAACAAGCCACAGACGACGCATATGCCTTCACTAGTCAGCTCGTTCCAGTCGTTCACCAGTACAGCAAAAACGGACAGATTTGACCTATGTGCAAAGAGAAGGACGAGTACAAGCACAAAAGTCTGTGAAACCCAAACATGGAAGGCCTGATCCTGACCTGGACAGAGAGACAGGCTGGTGACAACAGCCCTCTGTGGACGGACAAGCGGCAGACACACACAGAGGATTTCTGCACTCCAGGACTGTTTGCTTCAAGGGTCCTTGGCCAGTCAGCCATATCCCCACCCTTCCTGTCCCCCCAGAGGTCCCTTGTCACTCACTGTCACAAGCGTAAGGCTTGTCCCTGTCTTCCAGGGCGGCGGCGGCTGCATCCAGCTTCTTTCGGGCGCTGCTAACTCCACGGCCCTGGAGGAAATGACATCAGCATGACATAATCAGTCAGAGTTACCATGTTCTCCTCACTGCTGTGCAACAATCATGTTTCGCTTGTGTTCCGGGTATTGTGCTTGGCGATAAATAAATAAAACTGAAGCATTACAGGACTTGTGTACGGTCTCTCGTTCTTACGTAAGCACTGAAAGTCATACGTGGAGAAACTCGACACCTTGCAGCTCAAACTGAAGTCGCGTGAAAGGAAAAAAAAAAAACTACTGTATTGCTTTGCGACGAGACCGTATTAACCCCCAGAGGTGGATAGTTCAGGTCCAGAAAGTAAAAATCCACTCCAAGATTTTGCTTCAACCAACCAGTTGAGTATAAAGAGTCACACAGTACTCAACCGGTTGGCTGACAAAGATCTTGGAGTGGATTTTTACTTTCTGGACCTGAACTGTCCACCTGTTAAACCCAGACGCAGATGATATAATGCTAGAATTTTTTCCAGAGAGGGTGGATGAGCGGCCAGCCAGCACCAGGGACCATCCAGTCCAGTCCTTCAGATGTATAACCCTTATGCCTCATTTTCTTCCTAGCGGAGAGACACGGATAGGCACACATTGGGGGGGGGGGGGGCCTTACCTTTCCTTTTCCTTTCCCTCTTCGTTTCGGGGTGTCTTCTTCATAGTCTTCATCGTCCAGGTCATCCATAAAGTCGTCAGGCTCCAATATCCTCTGCACAGAGATTGTACCATCAGATAGAAGAGAGGTCACAAGGATGCCTGAGAAGCTCCTTATGTTTCCACCGAATGTGACCCCAGGACAGGGTCATGTTCTTCGATTGTGATCCATTCATGGATTCAGCAAAAAGCCAGAACTTATCGGCGGTGTTGATTGAGTGAGGTGGGATTTAAACGCTACCAGCCACATGGAGGAGAATGAAAGAACACTATAAACTATAAGGCAGATGCACATGAAAACTTGGCAGTTCCTGCACTTGTCCCTAGGGGGAGGAAGAGAAGGCTCCGGTTCTGAAGCCACCACAAAGTGAAAGACGGTATTATTCGACTGCAGCTTTCACAGTCACGTTCCTTCAGACGGCAACACGCCACGCTCAGCCCGGATGCCAGTTAAGAATAACCACGGCATCCTTCCAAAAGATGGGCAGCTGACTGGGAAAACTCGCTACATGCATGCAACCGCTCAGGGTCGCTGCAAAAAACTAGGCCGGCAATCCCAGCCGGCATCTATTTCTGGAGCTCGCTTGCGTCAAACGACGTGCGGCCATGTGACCGTACCTTCCTGACACGGGTGGCAGGGTTCAGACCGCCGCCGGTGAGCTCAGCCAGGATGGGGTCCTCCTCGGGCCCCCGGAGGTCCGGGACTCCTCGCTTATCCAGGGGCTCCCCCTTGAGCAGCGCCTCCAGGCTGCTACCGTCAGCAGACACCAAGGAATCCTTCTTCAGCCCCAGGTCCAGCTCTGCGGGAGGAGAAAAGGTTGAGGCTTAAAAATAAGACGCGTCAGTAGCCCGAAAAGTATCTCGCTCAAGGCGAAAGGAGCAGAGGCGCATATGCGGTAAAAAAATGCCCCCGGGGTTCTGCTTGAGGAGTGAGCCGGACCTGATTTCAAGGGAGGAAATGCCAGACGGGGGTCCTCTGGAGGGTGAGCTCGCCTCTTCTTCCTCCATCGCCGGGCGGGGTATGTGTACAGCTGACCAGGAGCCAATCCTTACCAACAAATACATGAGTCGGACACAACCAAGCCAGCATTAACACCTTCCGAGAGTTAAACCGGAAAACATGATTATCGTCAGTGATTCAAGCATTTCTAATCGAGGCATGACTACCTGCGAAACTGACGCAAATGATCTTAAAACTAATTACAAATCTGTATTAAAAAGCCGATACTGCGACCACCACAGAATCAGCTTGTTCCAGTGGTTAAAAGTCCTTCAAGGATGTCTTCAGAATGTTCGGCTCGGCTGCCAGTTTCACAAGTGCCTCTAAATAGAGGTTCTGATGAATGGAAAAGAAGTTACAAATTTTAACATACTGCCAATGTCCAATGATGTCTCCAAAAATCCACTATTTCAGGAGCTTGAAAAAGCGTGTTTTGCTGAAAGGACTTTACAAAATAAACCTAAAGCGACGTAATGGGACACTCTAAGCACCACAAATAGACACCTCTCTTTACACAGCCGTCAGTGAACGGTTTAATGTTTTAAATGGACTTGCGTAGATCGCCATCGGCGAGGCAAATGTCAGTGTCAACAAGGTACAAACTAATCTCACGTTATATTCAAAATTAAAAATGATGGCGGCTAGCCGATAAGTTGTTAACTTTAGCAATATAAAATAATCCATACAAATGTCCATCACGGATACAAACGTTAACTAGTACAAACGTAAATGCAAGTTAGACTGATGACTTCATAAAACAATCATAGGTCAAGTAGATGTCAAACGCTATCAGCAGACAAGACGAGCCTATTCCATCTATAGTAAACAGTTACAATCCTCAAAAAAGTTTTCATCAGACAGCAACAATATGCAAGTTTATCACCTGTTCCAGTTAGGAAAAATCCTCAAAGCACATCTTTTCAGATGCCAGTTTCATATCTAAACTGCCTATTAATACTGATCTTTTTAATGAATGAACGAATTTAATGAATGTTAAGCTATGCAAATAGCTTAGAAATAAAAATAGGCCGTAAAAAAAATACATAAAATCCAACTGACAATGGCAGCATTTACCCAGAACAGCCCCACCAAATAACCCCCTATTCCACTCGCTAAGACGGAAAGCAGACAAGGCATCAGGTCACCAAGCAACGGGGGAAAGGTGAGCATTCAGAAAAGGGATGTCTGAGGGAGCGCTACAGCCGAGACTGCTTCTGACTGGCTCAAACCGGAACAGCCAAGCAGCCTGGGTGGGTGGGTGTGTGTGTGTAGCACACACCTGGACCTCGGTGCCTCTTCTCCATCCAGATGTAGCAGTTGCTCTGAGCCACTCCTGTCTGAGAGTCCAGGAACGGCATTCGGACGCTCCTCTCCGCGCACAGCCGCGCGTTGTAATTGTGGCACTGCTCCATAGCATCCCTGTAGTACTGCTCTCCCAGCCTGTGCTCCCATTCGCAAACAGACACACGCATGTACAGATACAGACATGCGCACGCGCGCACACAAACACAGGGCATAGCAAGAGAGCCAAGGACGTGTTAACAAAGGACTTCCGAACATAACAGGCTGTTTACAGCAAGCAGATCAATGCATTCCTTTTGCATGAATGACATATTAAAGAACCCCCCATGCCCAATATAGTGATAATTTTCTCCACAGTTCATCTCATAATCTCGGTACATCTTAAAGGCACACAGCACAGCCTGTGGCAGTATGTATTAACTCTGCCCCAGGGGAACTAATCAAGTAGTTAGCTAATTATTAAATGTTTGCGGGGGGCCAGAAGAATGTGCACATGACTGGATTTTTAGTTACCAATTAAGCCAAACTTGGCCTAAATGAGAATTACGCCATGTGTTACTTGGACTCGTTTACATGACGCTTGCATTCTGGCCTATACTGGCCCGTACTATATCAAGCTGCCAGGCGAATGCTCAAAGAGTAGATCCTCGTTTGCCTTATTCTAGCTGTAAACGCATATCCAAGCAGAAGTGCTGGGGCGGAAAAAAAAAAGCACGAAAGCAGAACGCCCCTCCTCGGCCGCAGCTCCGCCCGCAACTTCCCGAACTGCTGCCGGTTACAGGCGCTCTTTTGTGAGGCAGCTGCCGCGCAGAGCTGCGTGAGTCAACGGCCACCTCGGTGCTGCTTTGAGGCGGCGTTAATCCGCTCGCAAACCGGGGCCAAAAAAAGCAAAAGGGCCGGCAGACTGAGCCCCGGTTTGGCAATGACAGCTAATGACGGGCCGCAAACCGAACGGGCTTCACTGTCCAGCTGTCAACTCGGCCGGTACCGTTGGCTGGTTCGCCTGGAAACCGGTACTAAACCACAAATATGTGATTATTATAAAACATATATTTGTAAAAAAATAAACACACAAGCGAAACAACAACACATATACAATAATAACACGCGACGTGACGACGAACAACGGCGCTGCACACGACGGAACGGCTATTCCCACGGCGGTTTGGGGGAACAGCGTTCCGGTGTCGCCATTCGGACCCCTTCGTTGAGTGAAACTTGATAGGAGACTGTTGGAAAACTAATTTAGAGAGGGGGGCGAAAACCCCCGCAGCTGGTAAAGCTGCCGGACAGCGCGGCACACATTAGGTCTCCCGGCCTCCCCCCCGGAACACCCTACCGTGCCCTTGCCCCGCGCCTTTTAATGGGGACTCCCGGAGTACACCGGTCTCAGAAACCCACCACCCCCTAAGTCAAACGACGCGATTCGCTTTTGAAGCGCACGTATATATTAAAAAGGGACACTCACAGCTTCACTACATTCTCCACGACAGCCGCCATCTTCGCACAGAATACGCTTCGCAGTGTGTGACAGCAGTGCGGCTGCGCGAGCGCGCGGACGAAGGACCGCGCGTCCTCGTGCCCGCGCGTCGACAGGCGGCGCGTCCTCCTGTCCGCGCGCCGCCTGCGCTCCCGAGCCGACTGCCCCAATATTCTGGAAATGTTTCATGACACTGAGCCAAAATAAATATTTACTCCAAAGAGAATTTACAAGATCGTTTGGTCTGTCGTCAGCTTTGGTCCCCAAATCTTTTTTCATTTATTTATGTATTACAGTGGCACTCGGCACAGAGATATTCATTATTAAAATATGAAAGATGAATTAAGCTATATTTTATTGATGTGCACTGTTCGTTTCATATGAGATTATATCCAACTCAAAAATACATGAGGTTAAGCATTTAATTTATCCGTTGATTTTAAATCATGTATCCATTACATATATTGTATAAAATTGTAACAGCTTTGGACGGGCGGGTGAAGTGATTTCTTGATCAATGGACAAAACTGACATATTTTACAATCACACGTGCTGCTAAAAGTCACGTGTCTCATTACTTTCCTGCCAGTACAACAAAGTGTACTGACAGGAAAACCTGTTACGTTAACCTTTACATGACTGTGCCGGTAGAGGGCACTGGTTAGCTGTTCAGACCGTCGACTCTTACATATGTACACACATGCTATATGTATATAAGTGTGTGTGTGTGTGTGTGTGTGTGTGTGTGTGTGTGTGTATGTGTGTGTGTATGTGTGTGGAAAAACCCAGACTGACGATCAAACATGAACCACACATCTTAGGACAGAATTATTAACAGGACAGAATTATTCCCTCACTTCCCATTACAAAACGACCATTTTAAATGGATACAAATTAACTTTATTATTATATTAAAAGATTAATACATTTAAAAGGATGACAGTTCTGGCAGGCCTTTTAAATGAAAATTAAATCATAAGTAGAAGCTTTTAAAAACTGTCTTCACTTAGAATTGCAAAAAAACACAAGCACAATTGAATTGCAACCCAAGTAACAAATCCCATTAAATGGAGAGAAGCCCTACGTGCTTTGCCCCACCCCTGCTCCCAGCCGTATTTTCTGCCTTCTATCCTGTCACAAAGAGCTTCTGAATGGGTCTTGCACAGAGGATGGGGCTTAATTCCACTGGGAGCTTATACAGCACTTCAATCAGCCTTTTTCACGTAGGCACAATTAGGACCGAACCTCTCAGCAAAAGAGGGGGAGAAAGGGGTTGGTGTTACTTTGAAAAAAGCACATTTGTATGGCTGGGCTAACAGCAAGTAGGGGGCTGATTCATTTAGAACAGCATGCACCGGCCACACGTCTCCACACATCACAAACACCAGCAGCACCGGACTTAGATGGAGCCAAAGTCCATGACAGTCTCTAGTGTCTCTCCCTCTTTCCTTCCCATCCTCTGTTCCCAGTGTGTCTGCTCTCTCAGGGTCAGTGCCTCTGCGCTCAGAGACCCTTTGCTAGCGAGACCGGGATGATTCCCAGGCCGGTCTGGGTGCACCACGCTACTCCGCAAACAGACAAGGCGCGCGGACGGAAATGTGCATCACCCGTCAGCGATGCTGCCGTCCTGAGCACACGGCCGGCGTCCAAAACACAGATTAAGACATTTGTCCACTGAAATTCTGAGTAATCTGACGAATTTGGCAGGGCTCTAAGTCTGCAGTCTGCATTTCCCAGTGTATACAGACAAAGCCGGCTGAAGACTTGAGACCAGCAATAGCACATGTTGGGTCTTTGTAACATGTGGTGTGCCTCACTACCACGCTCCACCAATCAGGGGCCAGGGTAAGTTATTTATTATCTTTTATTTATTGTCTGCAATGGATGGCACAATAACCCAATTTTCTCTAGGTTGCAAACCCCAAGCACCTATTTTCAGCTTTTTTTTCTCAATAAAAACAGTACGGTAACACTATACTTCAGGCACAAATAATGTAGTGGTACATTCTCAATTAATGTAGCAATTAACCAATGTAGCAATTAACCACAAAGTGTTAGCTACGTACTGATCTCATGTGCGATCATGATTAATTTATCATGGAGCTTCATTTATGTCATGCAGCACTCATGGAAGTTGTACTTACACAAAAATGCCCTGAAGGCAGAAGGATAAATGATTGGTTCAGGGAGATAACCAATCGGATTGTAGATTGTAAAATCCGATTGGTTATCTCTCCGAACCAATCATTTATCCTTCTGCCCTCAGAACATTTTTGCGTAAGTAAAACTCCCATGAGCTCATGCAGATACTATTTTTGTTCATGATGAGTATTTATATGTAAAATGCTATGAATCCACCTCCAACACAGTCACTCCTGCCCCATGAACAGAAAGTAAAATAATGGCTACTGACATGGACCAAAACATTACCTCACTTTTCAGCAGGGACTGTCCTATAGAGGTGAGGTTAGCTCAGTGGTTTAGGGCTTTCTTCCTCCGTCCTGAAGGTGTTGTGTTCAAATCTTAGGACTAGCAGAATAATCAAATCAGTGTTGAGTCCTTTGGGGCAATTGGCCTCGCTTAACTGCTCCAGGCATGTTGGCTGGACTTCGTGCATCGCCTCGGACAAAGGTGTCTGCTAAATATGCAAATGTGTCGTCAAGCAACAGTTTAATAAACGACGAGGCTTTGGTGAGAACCTTTCGGCTCAGCAAATAAAGGCATCTGCAGGCCACAGTGATTCCACGAGAGGAGCACATCTGTTGCCCTCTGCCTCGCTGAGGGACTGAGGCGGAAAGTAAGCTGCTGGCTCACAACTGGGCTGGGAATGTTAATCAGAGCTCAAGTGTCAGTGCTGGAAGGCTCCCCAGTGCTGAGAGGGTTAGGTGTGGCTCCCAAACACAAACTAGCCTGTGCAGAACATGAGAAGAGAGGGAATTCAGCTCGCGTGGACCACAAAACCAGCTGTCAGTGGCAATAAATAGAAACGTAAGACTTAACATGTGATTAATTCGTCTTCATGCATATCCCTAGTACAACATCAGCGCAGGTTATTGAAAACGGAGTCGGTGAAATACGGTAAGGGCAGCGCGCGAAGGTATCCCTCTGGAACCGCACAAGTGTGTCAGCAAGAGATAATGCAGAAATATCTGCACATACAGCAGAGCCAGCAGGGAGTTCTTATGCCAGAAATGATTATGGTCTCGGAAAGAGCTCCGTGCTCCAAGAGTGTCAAAAAAAGTAATCATAATCCAAACACCAGAGTTTTCAAAAGCGAAGAAAGTCAGAGGGCAGCCAGAGTACAGTTACCGTAAAATACATAATACATCAGCGTCATCATGCATCATTTATGATGTCACGTGTGAAAATTGATTGTAATTCTGTTTTTAATGCTAACACGCCTGAAAAGGATCTCTGATATTCTGTTTGAAAAATTGATGTCTTTTTGTATCTGTTTGAGTGACAGGGCATATTTATTCCGAGTTCGGTGTGGAATTTAGAAACGAAACGTGTCGAATGTAAAACCACGCTCGTCAAGCAAAACTGCCAAGATAACGGCAGCTATCAGGCGTATTAGGAACCAGGAAGACACCTATTCCAACAGCATGTTAAACAAAAGGCAGAGCACAGCATTCGAGTGTCACATTGTGCACCTTCCCTCGACAAACGATAAAAGGCGGATTCCTCTGCTCTTCATGCTTTAAGGTCACGGCCTAGGAAATGCTTCCCCGTATTTTCTGATGGTCGCTTCTGCATTCTTACCAGACGCAAATTCCCCGGATCTCCAGTGTGCGCTAAAAGCAGATACATTTGATCATTTCCATTTTAACAAAGTCCGATCGCGAATACAAATACGAAGTTACAAACGTACACAAGCAGCGATGATGCATGACATAAACACTGGCAATTTAAGCCCAAGCAAAAGGCCTAGATGTTATTTGTTAAAAAAAATAATAAATGAGTAATTTCCCACAAGTCACAATTAAAACTCTGTTACATCTTTATTTGTGCGTCGCTCTGGGTAAAAGCGTCTCTAAAATAGGCCTAAATTAAGGTAAACGAAAATCTATGTAAAAAAAAAATAAACGAAATGAAGCGTTCATTCACAACTAATTTCAGTGTCATATTGTCTCATTACAACAGGACTTAATTCTAATTAATTTTAAGGTGCATCTTAAATCTAATAAAAAAACATACATTCAAAGGCATAACTCAGAAAGTGAACACCATTGAAACAAAATTTTTACAAGTGGGCTCCTTTATCTTTAAGGAAAGGCTATTTCTCAACCATGTTTTTAAAAAGCGAGAGTCAGCGTTTAGTCATGAAAGGTGGGACCTGCGCAGCGTGAGATCTGCCGATGCGCACTTTGTCCGTGTGAGGAGATGAAGGCAGCGCCGCCTGCATTAACCGCAGCGCCATGAGCACAAGCTGCACCGGCGCCGCCGCATTCCGCGGCCGAGCGCCCCGCCGATAACGATCGTAGACAGCAATCTGACACCGGCGGCTTCACGCATCTTCAAACCCCCGCACCTACTGAATATGGATGCTTGGTGCATTATAACGTAACCCTAACCCCACTTCGGAAGAACGGTGAATACGTTTTTAAAAGCCTTGGGTCTGCTTTCATCAGTTTGCTTTTTATCGAAGAAACTGTTTTTTTTTCCAGCGAACACTTTTTATTACAGAAATATTACAACGTTTTACCCAAAATCGTTCTCATCGATTATCTTAATCTATACATCTTCGCAGGTCATACAATCCCTATTCATGTCTTACACGATGAAGTTGCGGATATTTTCCAACATGAATTTCCACAGAAACTGCAGTTTTATGTTCCTCCTCTTTTGCAGAAGTCCATTATAGACAATGATACATGAGACACATTTTAGACCAGTGGTATTGATGTAATCGATGGTTTTCCAGTGTTTTTCGGCCATGGAAACGGGTGGCCAGTTGGAGACAACAGGTTTTTCCAGCCTAGTGAAAAGCACCCTGGATCCCAGTTCTTGTAATGCCATTAACTCCAGTTCATTTTCATATATTATATCAATATTTGCGTAAAAGTTTCATTTCCCTAATCACCAGCAGAAAGTTAAAAAAGACATAGATCCCACAATGCATTGCGGGGGATCGGGTTTTCCTTGACCGTCCCACAGACTTGTGATTTCATCCATCTGATGCCCATTGGACGGCGTTGATGACGTCACTTTAATGCTGTTCTTGGAGGAGCATTTGAAGAAAAACACAGCGTTCGAAAACTGATCGTCATATAATAGCCTAGCAGGACCCTAATCACCCCATTTTTTTTTATCAAAGTGGCAGCGTATTCATTAAACAGACGAGAGTCAGGGAGATCTTCCAAACCAAACAGCTACTTTCCAATTCACAGGGGATTCGCAGGCCCCAACAGCCAGTTCATCAGTCTAAAAATTCACAGCTAATTTTTATTATAGCACTATTATATCCATCCAGTATAGAGTCACAGTGAGGCTGTGCCAAGGTGCACGGGGCAGAAGGCGGAGGGCAGCCAAAGCCCCCCAGAGGATTATAGGACTAACATGAGTGATTACTGATAACCAAAGGATAGCAGGGATAATAGAAATCCAGATGACTGCATACGACTTATTTTCACAGCATATAGGTAAGATGCACCTTGTTTAGAAAAGACTTAGAATTATTTAGCGAAGTAATGGCAATGACTAAAATGCAATCTGTAACAGTCCTGTTCTTATGGCATAAGCGAGGAAGCTGATCTTCTTGCTGGACAGCAGCAGGAAAATTCTAGAAACGACGGCTCTGTGTTGGAGATTAGTAAAAAAAAAAAGGATGGGGGGGGGGATTGGGCTCAGGTGAAAATCTCATGGAGCCCCCCGTGTAGACAGGATCCGTTGAGGCTGTTCATGTCGTGCTTGTCCATGATCTGCAGCACATCTTCCAAGATGGAGGGCCCCAGGTCCAGGTGTAGAGAGAGCAGGGATCCGGCGTGGGAGAGGTACGGCTGCTCTTCCATCGTGTCCTCCAGGCAAGATTCCCGGAGCAAGCAGCGGTCCTCACTGGGGAGCCCAGGAGGGCTGTCCGGAGATGGCTCGGTGAAGCGGTGGGTGACCATCGGCGGAGACGACAGCCTCCTGTCGTCGAGGTGCAGCCGGGGTGGTTTAGGGGGCGGGGCCTGAGGCTGGATGTGGGCGTGGTCAGCGTTGGGGGTTGGCAGCGTCAGGGCCCGGGCAGCCTCCATGATGGGCAGAGAGAGGGCGTTCTTCAGCAGCGGCGAGCTCCTGCAGGACAGCGGGTGGCCACAGATGCTGGCCGGGCGGCCGGGTGAGGCGGAACGTTCCTGAGTGTCGGGGTCCCGCCTTCCGGGGAGCAGGTGGAATTTCCCTTGCAGGAAGGAGAGGTCGCCGAACACGTCGTCCTCGCCGCCGCCGCTGCCGATGTGGATGGTGTGCCGGAAATCCCCCAGCGGGGGGCTGATCATGTCCGATGACAGGATGTCACGAAGTTTCTCCTTCTTCCCCTTGCGGCTCCCCCGCTTCAGGTAGATGGGGGCCTTGCTGGACATGGCTGCCCTCTTCCCGGGACCAAAGGACTTTGAGGTATCCTCCCGGAAAGGGAGACCCAGGAGGCTGTGGGAGGGGGGACCACTCCCACGTACGGAGGGGGGCACCCCTTTAGTTTAGTCTGCAATCCAGGTCACCTTCTTCCCCTGCTGGATAACAGCCCAGAGGCTACAAATGCAGGTCAGGGGGCAGAAGGGTAAATAGCTTTTTTTTCCAGATGGAAATTGAGCCTTTAGAGGGAAAAAAATCCACAAAGCTTGATGCAGATGGGTTCAAAACTCCCGAGCCTCGGAGGACGTCTTCGAGGGAGTGCCGATCTGAATGACCTGTGATGTCATCGACGGGGGGGAAGCGGCGATGCGGTCAGCTGATGGCTCCGCCTGGTGCCTGTCCCATCCACCTGCAAATTGCACACCCTAACGAAAAACAAAAGTGGAAGAAAATCAAAGCTCATTTCTGATCAGGCGAATCCCAGCGGTCAGCCGGATATAAGGAAAGCCACGAACGCTTGTAGTCTGTGTTAAAAAACGCAGTTTAATGTAACACAGGTCTGAAGTGATTCTGACGGTTTAGTCACAGCTTACACTGAATTCTTAATGACCAGTCTGACCAGCAGGCCAGTGTCTCCTCTCAGTTTCTCTCAGTTCTGGAGAAAAAGCACCACTAAGGCAGCACTTGCAGCCTTTTCTCTCAGCTTTTAAATGGCAGATTTCTTATCTCTCCCTAAAAACTGCACCCCGACCTCCATGTCTGCCTGGAACTATTATTCTACCAGTTTCCTCATGACAGACCGAGTCACCATGTGTGTGTGTGTGTGTGGCTTCATCATCTCTCCATAAATCATCAGGCAAAACAGCATCGCCCCGCACTGTGAACATACAAAAACGCCGACAATAGAATTGAGTGAAGATATATAAACATCCATGCATGTCTGAGACACTTTGGACACACGCAGGGTTAATTATAAATCAATCTGAGGAGTGCTGTTCACTTTAAAATAAACACAATAAAGAATATAAATCTCGTTGCTCGGGGTTATGCATATAGACCAGCCACTGCAGACTGAAAAAAAAACACCTTTCTGTGTCTGGTAGTCTGTATATGGTTCACTGTGCACATGGTTCATTTATACATGAAGAAAATGAACACGAATGCTTTAGGAAGGATAAATATGAATCCAGTAATGACAATTAAGGAGGAGACGAGGACACCAGCACAAACAGGAGACTGGGAGCGGAGGGCACTGGAAAACGAGCCAGCATCACCATCCGATCGGCCGCGTCCTAATGGAAATCCATGCTGCTTACTGGGCTCCCAGTGGAATATCAGGATTCCCTTCCAGCACCAGGATGGGGCGTAACTTAGAGGAAGAAGAGCCTCCCACTCGCGCATCCCGGGCTAAAGTTCCCAGAGCCGGCGGGAGCTTTGAGTCACAGGAAAGGGGCTTCCTTTGTCAGACTCTTCCTGCTACGCCCTCGTACCGAGAGCCAACACCAGAGACCAGAAACAAGCGATCAGACGCCGCACGCGGACCTCAAGCGCTCAAGCTCCTTAAGGGCTGTTTTTCAGATGCTGTATTATGTCTGCCAGCAAGAAGCCTAGTGTTTACGAAAGCAGACAATGACAAAAATAGTTTATATAACTCAACAAATACAGCATTGTGCTAACAATACAGTGGTTGTAGGTTCAGATCCCATGAAATACACAAAGATTGAAACCCTTCCCTCTACTGTGAGTCAGTTTGGATAAAAGCTTGAGATAGATGGGGATAGTTCAGATCCAGGAAGTAAAAATCCAGACCAAGATTTTGTTTTAACCAACCAGCAGAGTACTCTGTGACTGTACCTCTTTGCACTCCAGCTGGTTGGTTGAAACAAAATCTTGGTCTGGACTTTTTTTTCTGGACCTGAACTATCCACCTCTGGATAAATGAATGTAAAAAAAATCCATCCACTCAAATAATTCCAATAATGATATTATACTGTGTGTGTGTGTGTGGTATTATAATAATAATAGGAGGTTAGGAGGCTGTGTCTGTGATCGAAAAGGTCACCAGTTCAAATTCCAGAGTCGGCAGACTTATTTCACCGTTGGGCCCCTGAGCGAGGCCCTTAACCCCTATTTGTTCCAGAGGCTGGCTGACACGGCGTGCTCAACTGTACGTTGTTTTAGATAAAAGCTTCTGCTAAACAACGAAACAGTAACTGTAATGTTAATTATAATAATAATCACAGAACACTGTACATGTATGGGTCTTGACAAGTCTCTCTCATCTTCCCAGGCACACACAGTATTGAGCAATACGCAGCTTGTTCTCAGTGGTTACATTGTACCTCTGGGCTGTTTTTTCAAACGCGTTTTTTGTCTCATTTGTTTTTTCCACGGCCTAGAGCTCGCGCTCATCCCCGAGTCGTGTTCAGGCAGGAGTTCCGACGGCCCGAAGGCAAAATGGCACACGTTCCACAGAGGCAGGATTCCCATCCTGATTCCAGCGTCTAAAATTGTCCTAAGCAGTTTCCATCGAGATGACTCGGATGTGAAAGCACAGTCTGAAGCCATCGGTCTCTGTCAGGTCTGTGCTTTAAACAACGCCGGGTATGTGGTCCAGACAATATGGCAAAAGAGACTTTTCAGAAGCCTTTAGATTACTTGATGTTGTAAATTACCTGAATAAAAGTACTTACTATCTGGAAAAGAACACAACATAATTAGCCACACAGGGGGCGTAACTCCAGTGTGCATCAAGGACCAGTACAAGGTCACCAACTTATTTGTAGGAATGTGATGATATATTTAGTTACTAATGGTAGTTTTGAGCCGGCGGCTGTCTTAGACACCATGAAGCACCAGCGGGGGGTCCTAAGGGATGACAGGCGCCCGTCGCCGCTACATAGTGCATGACACACGCCTCCAGCGGAGCCAGCACCAAAGAACAGCCCGTTCCGACTCTCTCCCACTTGGACAGGAAGGCGTTAGGAACGCCACAGCCTGCCTGGCATGGGAAACGTGGGAAGGGCAGGAAACAGGATGGCGCAACGTGCCGGGATCAGCGAAGTCGCATGCTAAATCCATCACCTGGAGGAACCTCACGCAAACATGGAGTATATGTCAAATTCATACTCAGGTAGTGGTGGGCAGGAGTCGATTACACAACCTGCCAGTGTGAGGCGACATCTGAACTTAATTAAATAAAGTAAAAGTCTCTTTATAAACACACACCCTACGTGTAATGTTTTGTTTTCATCTGGAGTGGGCGTGAATTCCTTCTAGTCTTACAAACAGAGCATTTTATTCTGAATGATTACCCATTATAAACCGGCGAACATAAACTGATATAAACCTACACAGCATTAGTGGACACCTAGAGAAAATACGTGATTTGAATCATGCGTGTTTAAAAATAACACAACTGAAAGCTACGGCAAAATCACACAAAATACTTTAAACCAAGCAACCATCAAGGCTACATGAACGAGCAACGATTTTTTTCCCCAATAAGTGTCGATTCGCGAAATACAGGTATAACGAGTATTACATGGTTTCATATTAGCAGAGACGTGTCATTACAGGAGCTCTACAACTGATATCATCTGAATGACATGTTGCTGCATCGCAACTTAATGCCGTGCGCGTCTTCATTGGCAAGTGGGCGGGGTGGGCACAAAAGCGGGGCTGCTCACAGTTAATTGTCCCACGCTTGGGGGGGGGGGGTCATCTTTTACATAAGTCCAAGCACAGACTGTACGCTCTCAGCACGTTTTTTTCCCGGATTAAAACGCGAATTCTCACAATGAACAGTGTTTGGGGTCTTAAGAGGATCATTGTTTGAAGTACACATACTTTAGCCTGCAAGCGAGCGCTTTCTGAACAATGATCTTACTGTAGCTATTGAAACTACACTGTCAAGCTCCGTTAAAGTGTAACGCGGCCGTCTGTATAGTTCAGGCTGCCCCGCAATTCAAATGTGTTCTGGGAAATTCCTTCAGTGAATATGCATAAGGTCTCAAAAGTATATAATACCGGCCATGTACGCTGTTACTATAATGACATTTAAGTCGTACGTAGAGGTCTCAGTATTACTTATTATCATACTGCTATTGTAATGCATTATTCAATAAGTTGGTGCAATAGAATTTAAAACAGTCTAATTAACATTTCAGCTGCAACATGTTCATATATCGGTTTTGCACCTATTTCCAACCAGCTAAAATATAGATAACTAAGATACGGTTAGGAAATAGCTTAACGTCACAACGCAGGTCATTGGTAAGATGCATTTACTGTAATCGGAAAAGAAGTAAAACTATCATTAATACGTTCGTGTTAGTTGTAACACGGACTAGGTAGTTCTACGATCTAACGCCCAGCGACATCAACTTCATTTACCAGAATCCAGAGCTGATAATATGGTTGGTATGAGTAAAAGATGCTTAAATGCACGCCCATAATGTCAACTCGTTAAAATTTTATTATAAATTTCCTCGATGTCTTGTAACGTTGCTGCAGGTTAGAGTTCAACCGAAACATGAACATCTTAATAAATGAAAAATCATTATCCTGTATTTTCTCACAATTATTAAAGCCGTGCATATACCGATATAGTACGATCTCTGTGATATTTTTATTCCAAATTATTTTCATTTCCAGGACAGTGTTGCATTTTTTCATACCTGGTAAAAAATAATATAACACAATCCTCAATATAAGATCCCGAAAGAATCACGGATTACTGATAGATACGCCCCAAAACTGCCAGTTCAGGGGAAAATAATTCACCCCCTTCCGCATCCTCCTCTCCCCTTCATTCACTTACTGCAGGTAAGTTAGATATACGGACGGGGGATTAAAAATCAAAATCAAAGATCCGAAATTACCTCTGACCATTCAGGCGTCCGAAGCCGTACTTGTATCTTAACGCATTTGAAACGGGGATTAAAATGCCATTTTCTCATCTGGGAAGCTGGGGTAAAATATCCTTTTCAGTGGACAGCCCGACACCGATAACACGATCCGCACTGCCTGGGTGTCCCCGGCGTCCGCAGCACCAGAGTAGCCGTCGCTGGGCGCCGTGGGAACTGCTGCTTCGCCGGAGCCCGGAGCCGTGTTGCGACAATCGTGCGATCCGGCCACAGTCTCGCTTTCACCGAGTCTCACGTTGTAGGCAAATGCAGACACTTTAGTGGCGGCAGCCCGGAAATCACGGCACTGGATCCCCCCCCCCCCCGCAAACGCGCGTTACTTTGAGATGCTGTGCAGAACGTCACGGCATGCAGACACGTTTCGACCTTTTGCCTGCACTTCCAAGGAATGTTCCGCGCCCTGCAATTACGAAACAAGCATTTATCAGCAATGGATGGGTGGAAGGATGCAAGTCCTACCAACATTCCAAAATCGTTTCCAGCCGTAATAAAAGTCCTTATTTCTTGTCGGGTTTTCAGTCCCACAAGACTTGCAGCAGGAATAGTAAGACGCGCCCGTTAGCGTGGGCTTGTCATCAAACCCCGCATATTTACCGATACAGGGAATCGAATTCAACTGCAGCCTTTGAATCGACTGTAATGTTCTTTCAGTTTTAGCTTTAATACGTCTGCTACATGTGCACGAAAACAAATAAGATGTTTTACTGCATGCAGCCAAGGTTAAAAATATTTCACATCTGTGCGGTGGTGGATTTGGTGGGCTCGGATCAGGAAAGTGTTAAATTCAGATGTAGTAAGCTGATCTGCTGTATCGGAATATAGAAGAAGCGGTAGACTTGTATTTCTTACTAGAGACTCCCGCTGCTTTGACCGGCCTATTTAAGAAATGGATCAAGTTATGTAAGCTCCTAAAATAAAGTTCCACTTCCTTTCTCTGTTTCTCACATACACGGACAGGAGCACGAGCACAATAGTCGCCCACAAAACATCCTGTGTATTCCAGCAACGAGTTCTTTCCCAATTAACAACTAAAGCAAACTGTAAGATAGCATTTGGTTAGCAAACTGGAGATCAATCGAACTATAGACCCAACAGGACCTTTGAAACTCCCCTAAATCGCAAATGAGACCTGCCGAGATTTCACCGGTGATTAGTTTAGGGAAATTACGTGTGATCATTGTAGGAATAACAATGGGCGTCTTGATTCGAAACTGGCTCGCGGAAAGTAAATTATAATCCAATCACCACACGGAACTTTTTCTCTGCATGTTTTTTGCAAACCACATTTATGTCAAAATTTTGGTGCCATAAATGTCATAACAAAACCATTGGAAAATATTTTGAAATCAGTTTGGCAATTTTGTAATAGAACGCCATTAGGCACATCGCCTCATAATTTATGTATAATACGGAGATTTTTAACCATCTGCTGGCTGCATATTTAGAATTACTGCGCAGAAATTAGACAGGACATATCTGATGACACGTAACGAATGTCTTCGGGGGGTAACGTCACTTGGAATATGTTCCTTTTAGAATCAGTTCCTACCATACGTTTATAATTTGACCCATGCGTAATGCATGTCAATTCGCCATAAGTACGTACAGTTTCTTAATAGGCCTACTCAGTAGAGGGAAGAAGGATCATCCTGGTCCGGAAAATATTAAGAAAACTAACAACCGATAGCCAGCGCGAGGCGCCTTCTTTCAGGAAGAGGCACTTTCGCGAAAGTGTGAGTGTGAAACGAAGCTGACGGTGGAATTACACAGCTTCCCACAGAGCTGTGATCCCGTCATCTGTCTCCCCTGATGGCATCCTGCCACCGGCCAAGATGTCACCCTTTCGTATCTCAACCTGTTTGTTGAGTTACTGCGTTCAGGACACTCTTGTGTTTGCTCTGTGGTTGAACCAACAAGAGGTAAGATTAAATACAATTAATTCCAAAGCCTAATCTAAACAGTGGCTTTTTTCTAAAGGAAATACATTTGCCGAAGTCACCAGTAACTCATTAACTTTATTAGCAAACCGGTTTCAACGTCCTTGACAATAAATTATTGAATATTGGAAGCTGAGAGAAATGAACTTGCACACAAGAAATCATGCAATCTAGGCAAATATGTAAACCAGAGTGATTTCTTTGGCAAGATTCAATAAACTTGGATGAAAATATCTTGCTGTATAAATGAGCAATTTACATAAACCAGATCTAGCGTGTGGCTCCGGAAGTCGGGCTGCTGTGTCCAGGACTAGAAGGTTGCTGGTTCAAATCCCAGGATTAGCAAAGTGATTGTAGGGTTGTACCTTAGAGCAAGGCCCTTAACCTCAAACTGCACCAGTGACTGTTTGTCCCTGCCTCTTCAAAATTGGACAAAAGTATCTATATAAAATGTAAAACTGTGAGTAGGGCTGAACTGAAAATTCAAGGTACCTGGGTAGGAAAACAGACAAGACACTTACTGAAATATCTGCCTTTTCTTGTACATTTCTTTCCCATCTCCTGTTGTTGATCCTTGCAGGTTATGAAAAGCACAAACACATGCAGCCGTGGAAAAAATTAAGAGACCACTGTATATTTTTAAACAAATCTGCATTTGTTAATCCTGGTTTAATCCTGGCTCTGTTGGCAGAAGGCTACGTTGGACAGCAGGATACAAGAACAAGGTGAAGCAGGAGACACTGGGAACGAGCAGAAACCAGTCAGGTAGGGGGCAGAAGTGACCTTCTAATGCCAGAGATGAGTGTTGAGTTACCCAACAGTTTCTCATGAATCGTATAGGATGACATTAAATGACCTTCGAAAGGAATGGGAAACATTGAGTGCAGGTGTGAAGTGCACTGCTAGGACAGTTCATATCAGGCTCCTAGAAGCAGGACTGAAGTCCCATAAGGCAAGGAAGACGCCCTTCAGTAATGAGAAACAGGGAAGAAACAGGTTGCAGTTTGCAATATATATATTATTCACAGACGCACACCCATAAATTGAGAAATGAGTGTAACAAAAAAATGTGGTTTGGTCTCTTAATTCTTTCCACGGCTGCATATCAGGAATGGCCAAACAATGCCGCAAGGCCGGGGAGATCGAATCTTGGCTCAGCCTCAACTTAAACAGGAATCTACCAGCACAGGCAAATTAGACAGCTGCCTAAGGCCCCGATTAACACATGGGAGCCCAGACAAATGAAGAAAAAAACTACATTCATATATCATTTATAAATAAAAATAATCACACACAATTAAAAATAATTACAAAAATAAAACCATATACGTGAAGTTAAAATATTTATGTGCAGGCAGAAACATGGCCAGCACTAACTAATGCCAGAACAGGCAGTTGCTGAGGGCACCCGAATGACCTGCATTGCACAGGAAGTGAAATGACCGTCAGTTTTCTTGGTAGTGGGGCTTCCAAAGTAAAGCTTTGCCTACGGCCCCTTGGAAGGTTGAGCCAGCGCTGTGTACCAGGCTCTTCAGTTCCTCTGAGGGCTACAGCAGGAGCACACAACCGTAACAGTTTGAGAGACACCAGGATGGTGGAGCTGCAAGTGGTTTAGATACCCGACGGGGACGGGGTCAGGCTGTCGGCCTGAGTACATGTTACTATGTAAAAAGCATGACCCTGGTCTACACCAGTGGTCACCAATCCTGCTCCTGGAGATCTACCACCCTGCAGAGCTTAGGCGTAGCCCTAATTAAACACACCTGATACAGATGATCAGGCCCTTCAGTAGATCTCCAGGAGCAAGGGTTTGTGACCACTGGTCTACATGAATAGCCTCCTTATCCCGAATCCCATCCAAGGCTCTTCGTGGGATTGGCTCCAGGCTAAGAGGTTATGGAAGCTGGATGGAGGTGTTCCAGAGCCGGACCCTGCGTGAATCACACCGAGCAGGAAAAGCTCAGGGGGGCTCCTGCCTTGAGGGGGCCACAGCGTCCGGCTGGGACGCCAAGGCTCTTGTTTTGTGCGTTTTCCTGATTGTGTCTTCCGTCCCGGCTCTAAATAAACCGCAGATGTTGTGGCCTGGTTAATGATCTGAAGCCCAAGGCTGTTGCAAACAGAGTATAAAAGTGGCACGCAACTAAACGCCAAGAATAAATCTCGCTACATGCATAGCAGAGGGGCGGGCGAAAAAATAAATAAATAAATAAAATCCCAGCGTTTACCAGATGGCCAGTGATAGCAGGACTGCTTCAGCCTTATAATGTTGCATCAGACATATGCATACGCTTGACCTGGTCCTTGAAATATACCCACGTGGCTCTTCACAAATGTTTATATAGGTGTTCTGGTTCTGGTGGGACCACCCACTGTAGCCTGAGGGTGTCACCGACGGAAGTGGCCACCAGACTTGATATATTTCTCCAGCAGTCCCATCATCGTGGTCCTGTGGATCCCCGTTGGTCACAGACGACTGCCTTGGCTTGTGCTCTCCTGTTACTTGTCCCCCGAGAGGCTTCCGAGTCCTTTTAGCGGCTATTCGCGCACACAGATGCAGACTCCCTCTCCGTATCTGATGGATACTGTTGCCAGAAGGAAACGATGGATGCAGATGGTGACACGAGGTGACCTTTTCACACGGGCCGCCCCACATATGGCCGGCAGCAGGGCAGCGGCCAACGTTTTCTCGTCCAATCGGAGGCCTGAAAAGGATGAGAAGCTGTAACCAAAGAACATGTCTGCCTGAAAGCTGGCACTACCTCCATCCTTAACCACTGCACGTCTACTGAAAACTTTAGCCCATTACAGAAACCAAAATTAAAAAAAAAAAAAAAATCTCTAACAGGAAATTTCACGGCTTCCTTCCTCATGATTAGTTTCTTTTTCCTCAGTTTGAATTTTAGTAACTCCTGTTGTAACCCTTCGCAATCTAATCTTTAGCAGAGCCGGAACTCTCCCTGGATTTTGTAGTCATTTTGTAGAATTCTGAAACGTCGCCTCGGAGATGTGACGCTCCTCCAGAAGCAGCTGTAGGAGGTGCCAGGCGCCCGGCGATTTTACGGACCCAGAGAAGTGAAAGGCCGCTCTCTCGGGTAACTGGAAAACCGACAAGCGTTGTCATGATTTACGAGAGACGCACATGTTTACCATTCTTCCACCGAAGGCTCTGCCCTTTCAAGCTCACTGCAGAATTCGGGAAATGCGAATTGTTAGAGGGCAGCACCACATATTTTTCCATTATTTACAAAACCGAAGTTCAACGCCGCCACTACTTAACCCTGCGGTAGAGTGGTAGCTTTATGATAGTTAATTAGTCAGAAAGGCAATGCCTTGCAGCTTCCAGCACCATTATGTATTATTCAAGAGCTCATTGTTCTCCTCTGTAAAGCAGGAGCTACAGGGCAGGCTTGCCCTGGGCGCCTGGCTAACATCACACACACTGTTAAAGTGCATTTCGGGAAATAAAGATCCAAAGCGACATATGGTTTGCACTGATATTGATAGTCGTTAGCTATTGATGAGAAGTTGGTTCTTGTGACTTTCAGAGGCGTTTTCAGAGGAATGGCCACTTCTCAAACTTCAGAAATGTGGCTCCAGAAAATTAAAAAAATAAATAAATCGTCATTAACTGGTGGGCGGGGCCGGACTAACTTCTCTGGGGGCCCTAGGCTAACCTGGGTAGGGGGTCTCCTAAGTGGGACATTTGAGCTTTTTTTGGAGCTGAAAGAGAAACGAGGGGGAATTGAAAACAGCATGCCTTATGGATTATCAATAATATGCTAATCAAAGGATGGGTTGACAGCGGTAAGGCTTACTGACCAGGGTGGGGGGGGAGAGTGCTGCCAGGAAAATTTGCCGATCGGGGGGTGGGGGGGTATCGCACAGGTCGATCGATCAGCCAAATTCATGATATTATATTATTAAAGATTACAATGTCTTAGAAAATACAGTTACGATAAACACCCCCCCCCCCAGAATGCGGGGCCCAGGGTTGCTCCCCCGCCCCAAATTCCACCCCTGTTGGATGGATTTGAAACGAGACAAAAAAAATGTTCGCACACAGCTTAAAAAACACGGCAATTTTCATTTAGATTTTTTGTCTTTTTTTTCCTTTTAAACCAAGTTTTATTTTATTTTTTAGTTTTATTTTTTTGTATTTGATATAGATACACAATTCAACAAACAGTCTTTTTATTTATGTCTTTTTAAATCTGTGACGATAATGCCCCACAGCACACTGACACCGTGTGGCAGAATTCTGGCATTGCGGGTACATACCTGAAAATGGACAGCGGTGAAGAAGCGGAGTAGGAACAGCAGTAGTAACGACAACAACAATAATAATAATAATAATAATAATAATCATTATAATAACCATAATCGTAATAGTGGCACTGATGCACTGAAATCGACGAGTCACAAAAAATGGAAATGGAAAACTTAAAATAAATATGGCAGTATGGGGGGCTGGGGGGGGCGTTCACCGGTCTTTTCAATGCAGCAGAGCTAATTACCAGATGCAACCTCCTTCCCCCCCAGAGAAACTATCCCAAGTGAAGGATGCTACTTTGTCCGTTATATACTTATTTTTGGTATCCTATTTGAGTATTATTGTTGTGCAATAAACTTTAAATTGACATCGTCAAAGATTAAAGACTTCGCCACTTATGTGAGTAAGTAAAATAAATAATCTGACTGCCACCGCCGCTCTCTGCCCGTGTTCTCGCGTCGGCGTGCGTGCGGAAAGCGCAGTGCCCTCCACCTCGCGCTGATCACATGGCTATCCCTGCCTCGGTTACCTAGGAGACGTGATGCGGGGAAAAAAAAACACTTGATAACATCCGGCACACGACGAACCGGAGTTACTTTTTTGTGTCCATCTGAGTGGATGTGTCCTTTTATTCGTGGACCAGACGTCCCTATCTCCTTCTGTCACGTGACCGTGGACATTCCTCCTTGACTCCTTTAAGCTTCCAATCCTGGGATGACCACTGTTCAGTTGGTAAACCGTGTATATACTTAATGGAATCATTGTGTAATACCCTTTTAAAATTAATGACACAGTAGTTATGCATTAGTGGGCTAAGGTCATTCTGAAGGACCTCGTCACCTTTCCGCAGCAGACTGAACAGGAAGCCCTGGTGTTTTTCTACACTTGAGGTGTCCGGTGTAGGGTCAGCAGGGAGAGTATTCCAACTGAAACCCAGAGATGACCTGTAAATAATGGGGGGGGTCCACCCTCACCAGTGTTGCTCTACTGGGCAGGTCGTAAGCTGGGTCATGGCAGAAGATCTCTGAATTGCTCGTGCCACATGCCTAGTATAGAACATTCCATGTGGGATGATGCCAGAGAAGGGATAGAGCGTATCTAGCATCACTGCTAAGGGTCACCATGGTCCCATCGACTGCTGTTCTGGGATTAACTGGTCCCCTGGTACTGGGGCTGCTGGTTCTGCGGTATCCTCACACGCTGCCCGCAAGCCCTGGTTTAGCTAAGATGGCCGTCATGGGGAGAGAGAGAGAGAGAGACGACAGGGGAAAAACTGGCAGGTTTAAAGATGACGGCTGCCGTCAGAGGGTAGAGACCATGGCTAGACTTCCAAGGTTTAAGAGGACAGTCGTCGCTCCCAAAACAAGGACTAACCCCTGGAAAAAAAGTGGAGATCTTCAGACCATAGATGCAGGCAGTGACCATCCCATTTTGAGGGAAGAAAGTCAGTCCGGTCATATGCAGCATTAACGGAAAATCCACTGATGTTCACTTGTTGGTCCAAACACGTGTGCTTCTCAACATGTGTCATGGGCAAAATCTTCCCTGTTTCACGTAGGAAACGGTATCTATGATCTACTTTCATTAAAAAAATAGAACTGAGAGAATGCCTCTAACACAGGAAATCCAAAGTGGAATCTAGCAATTTTATTTTATTTATTTATTTTGATTGGATGTCATCCAGTGCTCAACTTCCCTTACTCCACTTGCTGGTCACTTTCAGGAACTACAACCTCTGCCTCAGCCTCCATTCACCACGTTTTGGCCTCGAGTCAGCACCCTAAAATAACAGCCAGTGTCCTTTACTTGAGAGAATATACACGCACCATAAAATAATCAGGCGGGTTAGCATTAAATGAAGAGCAGCATGCCCTACGTATACAAACCTTCCGGAAACAGCCATATCCACCCAAGCCTCGTTTTTTTTCCTATTTATTGAATAGCAGGGGACTGAACTTATAAACCAGAAAATGGGCCTAAGTGCATAAACTGCACATATACAACTCAAAGTCTATATACTCTATTCCCAAAATACAACTTCAAAAAAAGCAAAAAAGCGTAATCCCAAAATGAATCAAATACAGATAAATTAAAGAAAAAAAAGACAATAAAAACAACCTCTTTAAATAGATGAACCGACATTAATTCTTAAAATTACTTAAAAAACAAAACTTAACTGCCAACAGCTCTAATCTTCTTTAAAACACTTTAAAGCTGGAGATTTAAGGGAAAATAACTAACACAAGTAACATTATTTAACCACCATGGTTCTGCAAATACAGCAAATACCCCCAATATTCCTTGCTCATCTCCGCAGAATTTCTCAAAGAACCTAAACTTACATACTCTTAAATCTTTCTTTTTTTCAAATCATTTTTCAACACCAAAAAGATAAATAATAACAATAATAGTAATCATAATAATAACAATAATGATACAAAAAAAAGAATTTTTTTTTTATCTCCGTCCTTCAAGCTGTTTCTCATGAAGTGAAGTGAGAGAGGAACTTCGACACCCTTAAAAACAGCTTCAACTTACGGCTGTCAGCGATAAGCCATGTAACAGCCCTGTGGAAAAAAGCTCCCCTCATCTGCTTGCTCGTTGCTGGGGCGGACCATTCCAAATACGAAACCAATGGAGGGGGGAATGGATAAATAAGACGGACGCTAAGATGTTTCCTGACCTGATGATTTTTGGCCTTGCCATTGCTTCCCACCTGTTCCAGCCCCCCACAGCCCCTCCCATCCCACGACATCCTCTGATTTACATGTTCCAGCCGAGTCCACGAGAACCCAGGCAACGGACCTCCCCCCCACCCTGGCATCAGTTGAAATGACCCACAAGCTACCATGATGGCTTAAACAAAGGTGAACGGCACAGCTCTGTTGGAGCAGCAGAGGTGTCTCCCAGCAACCAGGGAGGCTGAGGGCCAGCGTGTTCGTCTCACTTTCCGGGTTGTCTGTGATTGGCCGTTTCCGCTTTGGGGGGGTGGAGCCTACTTCTTCTTGCCGAAGAAGCTGAACCTCTTCTCGCGGTCCTTGTCCTTGCCCTCTTTGTTGCGCATGACGACCGCGCTGCCCTCGGCAGAGGCGGGGGAAATGGGAGGCATGGTCATAGCCCGGATCATGCCCCGGGGGGAGCCCCCGGCAGGTGCTGGGATCGCAGACACGATGCAGCGGATCCAGGAGTTCATCTCAGGCTGAAAGCAGAAGGACGAGTGAAGACGCTGTGTTTGACCACAGCAGCACACAATGCAGCCGGTACGGCACATGCAGCAAAACCAACAGAACCCTTAAGGTGGCCGGAGGCAGCACGGGATTTGAGGAGCATGACCTATTACGTTTACAGAAACTCTACCCTTAAAACTGAAAATATTCACAGGCGTTTAGGGTGAGTCTCTGCCAAGCAGCTCAGTCTTACAAAGAAAGGAATTACTGGTGATGTAAGTTAATGATCGTCCGGCACCCACCTCGTCTTTCGCTTGGAAGAGATACTCCTTCCCGTCGGCTAACCTGCAGAAGGTCAGGAGAGAAACCACGGTCAGTCAGACGGCTCTCCCAGGCCTCTCTCGCTGACTTTGTCTTCCCTTCTCTCCTCATTCTTCCTTCTCCCTTCATTTCCCCTTCCTTCCCTTCAACATTCATCCCTCCTTTGCTTCAACCCTCATCCCTCCTTCCCTCTCTTCTCCTCTGATTCTTCCTTCCCTCCATTCTCCCCTCATCCCTCCATTCTCCCCTCCTTCTCCCCTAATTCCTCCTTCCCTCCCTTCTCCCCCCATTTCTCCTTTGCGCTCTTCCCTCCTCATTCCTCCCACCTTCTCCCCCGTACTCACCGGAGCTTGAAGACGTGTTTCCTCTTCTTGTAGTCGTGTGCCACCTCGCAGGTGGCCTCGCCCAGGCTGACGGGCACCTCGCCATGGTAGGGGACGCCATTGGTGGCACTCTTGTTGTCCTTGTAGAAGCCCAGACTGCCCTTGCGCAGCACGCAGTACACGTTCTGCCAGGACCTGCGTGCGAACACCAGTCAGCACCAACACCTGACCACACACTGGTTCTGCTCCTCAGAACCCTAACAGTTCTCCACAGATCATCCGGAATAAGACTGGGTTATCATGCCCACCGAGAAGTAAGGATGGATGGATGGATGGAAAATTCAATTTCTTAATATTTCAGTAGAATCCTAGACACTGAAGGTGGCCGTGTACTTAAAATGAAATTGACAAAATGTGTTCCGTGGCACATAATAAAGAGAGCAACTTCCATTTTAAAAGAGCTGTTATCTCCTTCATTAAAATGTCTCACGCACTTGCCACAATACGTTAATTTGCCCTCTGTATGTGGATCTGCTGCATCAAAAACATTCTGCATCCTCTTGATTTTTGGCGACTTGGATCGAACAAGGTGTTGGCGGAGTTTTAAGTACGCGACAGACTGTTCTCTCCGACGTTTTCGATTTAGGTTTGTCCGGGCGTCATTTTTAGTATTATATTATTGCATATCTGCCCGGAATTTCAGGCACTGAGGAGGGCAGCCCAAAAGACGCCATATGCCCTTACAATGGATGTTTCTCAATTGGCATACTTGACCGTACTTGTGTTCTTGCGTACCCGTTTGATGTCATCTTCCATTGTTGAAGACCAGTTCCAACACTAAGAACTGAAGTATGGAAGACAGTAAGAATCCCCAGATTCTTACCCCTCTCCAAATATCAAGGATATATTGCGAGACCAATTCCATGATTCACTGCACCCCAAGTTCGCTATTGAAAGGCAAGTTAGCATGACCGGTCTTGACAAAACCACAGATATGGTCTCTCTGTTCTTGCCATTGAGAAGCATCCAAGGTCCAGTTCAGTAAAGCCCAGGTTCTCCAGCACGGCTCACCTGCTGGCCGCCTTCTTGTTGTGTGACTCCATCTCCTGCTTCCGGCACAACATGCCCTCCATGGTCTCCAGGGGCGTCTGCTCAGCCGTGCTCTTCCCAGGCAATGTGGAGAAGGGGGCAGATGGGTCCAGGCGGGACGACGAGGCCAGCCCGCTGTCTCGGCCGGGGCCGTTCGCCGACTCGGACTCGGAGCCCTGGAAGGCCAGAGCACGCGGCCATCGTGATTGGAGGGAAAGAGCAGAGGGGGCGAGTCAAACCAACGGTCAGGTATCGCCTTGTCATTCGGCATCAGACTGTAAAAACATATCATCTCAGGGAAATTTCAACGTGAAGGTAACCTGACTTTCAGCTTTGTAAAGGCTCTATAACAGGGTTCTTCAACTCTGGACCTCGATTCCAAATCCAGGCCGCGTTTTCAGTTCTCCCAGGTAGTTGTTTAATAATTACTGATTCTGATTGGTTAGAGGCTTCACACCTGACAGGTACTGTAAAGGAAGGCTGGAAAACCAGCAGTGCTCGGACCTCAAGGACCGTGAGTTGAATAACCCTGCTCTATAAGTTGTTATGGAACCTAACATAGGTCAATATTAGGCAACTTGATTTGAAAGGTTATTAAATCTCTATAACAAAAAAGGACACAATAAGAATGCTGTTTCTATTTTTGGAGCCTTTACAAATGATAATAAACAGCTTCGCTGATTTATGTTTGTTACGGCCTTGCAGGAAGGTTTCTGAGAGTGGATTCCAGGTAGTCGACCATTTTTCTGCACTTTTTTGAAAAAAATCCAGGCCATGCAATGTGGTGGAAATAAATAAAACAGCATGTTTTCATAGAGATTTCTGGAAATCATAGCAAAAGAATAAAACGCCTCTAATTTGCCAGTCTGAGCTGTAACTGGTCTCACTGGTTAAAAAAAAAAAAAAAAAAACACACCGCTCCCTCTACAGCAAGACTCCAGGACGATGTTCTGAACAGACAGCGGGAGTCGATTTTCCAGTTGCCCCCAGGGGGCTTTTCCCACAGGCCACAAAGTCTCAGATGGATCACATGACCAGGCAGACAGAGGAACAACAACAAACATCAAGAACGGCAACAAACACAGCGGCCGGGAACCTAGGAACTCGTGCGTGAGCTCCACGCAGACCTCGTGGGAGTTCTACAGAAATGTTCTGAGGGCAAAATGAAAAATGATTGGTTTAGAGACATAACCAAAGAGACTGTAGAGGAGGTGGGCCCAAGCAACTAGAGGTGCTGGTACCAAGACATTTGATTGGTTGGTGGTCCTGCCTCCTCTAGTTGCTTGTACCCACTCCTTCTATAATGTTATTGTTTATCTCTGTGAAACAATCAGTTTTCATTCTGCCCTCAGAACATTTTTGTGTAAGTAAATCTCCCATGAGCACGTGCAGGTCTCTCACAATATCTAAACACCAGAACAAGGGACTAGATCCGACCACAAAGCGGCACATGGGAAAGAGCATTAACAACTATATTTACCTTGGTTTACAGGGCTACATTATCTAATAATGTCCTACGGTCAAAGATTACCCAGCTACAATGTAACGAGTGGGTTCAGGTATTGCCCATTAATAAACTGGAAATATCTGGATCTTAAAATGTACGGCATACACCAACTCTTGATCACCCCAAGTGCTCAGGGGTATAAACTGCTGTCTGGCTCAAGGAGGGACCTTTGGATACCATCAGAACCTGGAATGGGTGTTGAAACTGCATGAAAAGCCATGCAAACTCACACATAATACTTAGCAGGTTCCAACGGTAAGGAAACAGAGCATGTCTTTCATTTATTTCTTTGCTGAAAAAAAATGAATGATTTGAAGATAACCTGTTAGCATCTTTGACAGGTCTGTATGGAGCTTGTAAACCACTTCTGATACCTTCACCTACATACACACAGATACCCAAGGCACCCAAAAGGCTACATATCAGCAGAAGACATGGAACATATCCTACACTGGCTGACAGGTCACACCCAAAGCAGAGCAGGGATTATCCAACAGCCCGGACCATCTTTGGCACATCCAGAGCGCAGGTTCCCACCTCTGCGTACACAAGCCGGCTTGCCAAGATCAATGTGGAGCCACAGCGGAAATGCGCATGAACCAACTCGGCACGACATGGGGGCCACAAGATCCGATGGAGAAGCAATGGAGCGGCGAGGAGGAAGTGAGCAATGATGCCTTTCAGATGGGGCCAGCCGGCAGCGCTACAGCCAATCAAGGGCATGGGAAGCGGATGAGGGGGCGGGGCCAAAGGTCGGGGGCTGGGCCGTGCCTCCATACTCACACGCTCCAGGGACTTTGGTTTAAAGGCAGGTTTAGGGGCAGGTTTAGTGTCAGGCTTCTTGACCACTGACATCGTTACTGACTGCAGACAGAAATGCAACAGGAAGATATTATATGAACAGTGGCATGCGGGTTTGTTGCCGTGAGCACATGTGTGCATGTGCAAGACTCCCGGCTCCCCCTGCTGGCAGTCTTCTGGTCACGGCACAAGGGAACACGATTAAAAACACGAATAGACAAAAAAAAAAAAAGTGACTTCAGTCACACAAGGTGTACTGCAGAGACGTATACAAAACCCAAATTTGCAAATTCAACCATTTGGGTTGTCCACTGGCCAACGAACAAGGACAACTGGTTAGGGTGATGCAAACATGGTTAACTACAGAGGTCCTTAAATAATCACGATGTGCTTCCAAATAAAAACAACAACTTCTGCCCAGTAGGACATGAACAAGAAAATGAAGACAAGTATAGAAATACGAGATGAGACTTTGTGTGGCTTTATCCTTGCTGGAGGCGAACAACAGCCCAGTCTGCTGTGGGAGGCGCCGTCCCAGTCCATCTGCCGCCCTGTGCCCCCCCCTTTTAAAAGAGCCCTACTTTCTGAGGGACCCATTCACCTGCGAAGTTTCCTGATCGCTGTGGATGCCGTTCACAGACACTGACTGGTTCAGGGTCGTCTGGTCCAGACTGGTCCTGTGCCGGATGAAGAGCAAGAAGCTGTCATAAGGGGGTCAGGGGTCTCTCCATGAGGTCAAAGGGCAGAGAAGAAGTAGGGTCACCTCACCTGGCATTGGAGTCATGCATATGGCTCTCCGCCTCGGACAGTACCATCTCCTTGGCCGGGGGTGGCGTGGGGGGCCGTCGCGCTCTCTCCTCTTCCTCCCTCTTCCTCTGGATCTCCTGCTCTTCCAGCTACGAGTGATGAGAGCAGATGATTGGGATAGATAAAAAGGGATCCACCCATCTTTTCAATACCACTCGTCCTATTGAGAGTCATGGGGGTTTGGAGCCTGTCCCAGAAGCTACAGAAGACAGACAGGGGTGTCGCCCCATCTCTGAGTCACACATCACCGACGGGCAATTTGGTCACTCCAACTCACCTCATGTTACTGGACTGTGGGGGGAAACAGGAGAACCCAGAGGAAACCTCAACACACAAGGGAGGACATGCAAGCCATTGCACCACCCCAAACAAAAGCAATGCATCTACCCATTTACCACCTCTATTATTTGATAGCTGACATTTCATATAAATTGACCATCTATGACACCCCATAAAAGACTGCTGCTGGAATCTTGAGTACTGCTGACCCACAACCCTAAATCCCCAGTCTGGGGGGGG